TTTAAAAGCAAAGTCCCAAAAGTTTTTTAAAAATTGTGGCAGTAGCTTGTGTTACTTTGTAAACTCTACAGCAGTAACAAGAGCTGTTTTGAAGCTGGCAAGCTGTATTAACTATTTCAGGCCCCAGGGACTTAAGTCTTAGGGAATGCTCTTCAAATTGTGTTTCTAATGATGATTGTTTTCTACTTAGAAATATTTGTACTTTCTCCTAGAGCTCTACCTTGCGAATAGTGGTCACTGGTTTTGAAGCAACTGAATAATTAAAATGTACACACCTGGGATATCCTGAGAGTCCCCTAGTTTCTCTCTGCCACAGGACCTGATTTAATTTTCATAACAACCTGATTTTTTTCTACTTATGTATTTTTTTTATGAGTTGCTGTTTGTTTTCCTTCATTAGAAGATAGAGGCCATGGAAACAGAGATATCATTGACTTGCTCACCCCAGTAGCTCTGGTTTCTAGAATGGCACTTGGTTCTTAGTAGGGACTTAATAAACATTTATGTAATGAGTAAACTTTTAAATATTGATGATGAAATCATATTTGTAAGAAATTGAAGAAACTAAAATCTTTTGAATTTTAATTTATGAATAGTATGTTGTTAATCATTATTTACCAGCTGCATTACCTAGTCCAATACAAGTGGATAGTTCCCCCAAACCATGGTTTACTAAGTAGAATACCACTCATAAACTCATTATATAGCAAAGGTATCCAGATTACTATTTTAGAGTAATTTATCTGGTTCTCAACATATCCTCTATCTGGTTCTTCAATTTTTACTTCTTAATTCAAGTTATATTTTGTATTTTTTAGTTGCTAGGAACATTGCAGACTATTTTATACCTCTAGTTTTTGGTAAAACCCATAAATTTTAAGAGTATTCAGTTCTCAATAAATTCCTTTAAGCTTATCTATATTTTAAAATATCAAACTTAGTCATCATTTAGTAATTGAAGATTTTAGATCAAATGGTATGGTTGCTTAGAAAAAGTGTGCTAATCAAGAAATTTACTATTTATTTTTTTAAAGATTTATTTATTTATGCATACAAGAACTGGGGTACAGGCCAGAGGTGTGTGTGGGGTAAGAGGATTCACCACAGACAGAGTGGGGAACAGAACAGGCAAACTGACTGGAAAACACTGCTGAGGGGAGCAGCTGGCAAATCAGGAGAGGTCTTCTGAGCCATGTGGTGTTGTGGACCAGTGCAGTGGTAGACTGGCAAGGCCATTTTAGGGATGTGAAACTTGTGTAGGATGGTTAAGGATTTGGTGTATAAATGACAGACAGACACACTTTAAGAGTGAAGATTTGAATGAATTTGTTTAAATTATTACGTATATTTATATATTTTTAAAAGGCATTAGGTTATATAAAATTTATTTTTTAGTATAATAATGTTTTTTGTTATTTAGGTATAGAATACAATTTTTTAGTTAATGATTTATAAGTTGTTAAGTATATGTGGTTACAATACATTTTTTGAAACTGATTTTTTACATATATAGAAAAAATCAGGTAGGTAAGAAAATAGTGTTATTACGGACAGGTTGCTAAGTTGCTTCTTATTCAGGAACAATGACTAACTGGTTAATAGTTAAACTGCTTTGTAGGTAATTCCATCAGGCTTGTTTGTAGGCGATGTTCTTAGCAGCCTTGTTTTCAAGCAAAGGAGGGGTTTTTCACTGCGGGCTTATTGCCTAGATTGGGCTTACAGCCATTTAGACATTCGCCTGAATTGAACGCCAAAGATTTTTATGATGAAACCCCTCGGGGACTGTGCCTGTCTTAGGTCGTCAGGAGTCACAGACACGAGGCTGGCCAGTGCCTTCTTTAGCCTGCCCCCGATCTTACCCGTCATTGACTGTCCATCCAGCGCACAGGGGAAGAGGGTTTTATTTACTCAGATGTACTATGTGTCTGAGTGAAAGCCTCCCTCTTTCCAGTAAGTTCACTGGTCAGCGGCAGAGGCTGCCGCAGTTCCCCCTTTATTTTTAAGTTTAAGTTGTATGGTGTGTATGTTACGTTTTTTATTAATATTTTAATGAGTAGTTAAGGTTAAGGTAATATTTTTTGTAAGATGATTAACATAATGAGTTGTGTGAACTTGTTGTATAAGAGTAGTAGTGAAGGCAACCACAGAATTAATAATAGTAATGAGTGTAGTAATGTTTAAAATAAGAGTATAACAAATTTTTTTGTGTGACGGAGACCGAGTTAAACAAGTTAAAGAGTATAAACCCTAGTGTTGTTGTACCAAGGCTGTTACAATTTAACAGGGAGAACAATATAAGGAGGTTGATGTACAATAACAAATGTTATAGTAGACCACGAATTAACAGGGGAGATACAATTAGTGAGAATATAACCGGAACAATTGACATGAAAGGCATTTTGATGATAAGTGATTGACAAGGGTTTAGGGCCCTTGACAAGGAGGGTGTGTGGGGGACCCACACAGGCCCGTATGATAGAGTTATTAAAAGAGCGTTTAGGATGTTGGAAATGGACGATGGAAGTAGCAGTAAGAAGATGAAACAAGTCTGAGTAAGTACGAGTTTCATTGGAAGTGGTGAAGAAGTAGGAGGTTTGTGACTTTTTTTAGGTTTTAGTTAGTGAAGAGGAGGAACCAAGGTGTTGGTTTAATTTATTAGGGATTAGATGGGTGAATTAGTATTATTAAACAAGTATTAGACAAATTAATAAAAAGAAATAAACAAAAAAAATTAGAGTACCATATATTTTGTACATTTTTTTATATATAGGTGATTTAATAGGAAAGACAAAAGTACCTTTTATATCAGACTTTTTTTGAAATAAACACATTTAAACAAAGTAAATTATTAATATTTAATATAATTTTAAGGTATATATGTTTTGAATTATATTATAAAATTTGAATTAGTTTTTGTTTATCAAAAATAAAAAATTTTTTTTGATAATGATTATAAGATTGTTTTTATGAGAATTTATATAGGCGCCATTTATAATTAGTCCTCCAGAGGTAAAAAACAAAACAAAATGAAACAACATAAAACAAAACAAAACAAAACAAAACACAAAGACAGACAAACAGATACAGAGATATTTTGATATATATTTAAAATTTTGGCCATATATATATATTTTAAGAGATAGTTATTTTATTAATTTTTGTGATGTCACTGAGGGTTTTTAATGAGTTAAAAGCTAAAAACTGTTAGAGAATAAGTATTTAATTTTAATTATTACCAAAGACCTTGGGCTCGAGACCACAAAAGTCAGGCAGTTTTACTAACTTTTTTAGATAAGAGAATATTTTTTGAGTTTATATTTTTAAGAAGTGATTTTTTGGCTTTAGGTTGTCAATATATTATTATACTGAGAGCAAGTATATATTAAAACAAAAAAGAACACTGTTATTTTGATAACAGGAGAAGAGAAAATTTTTACAGTCTGCCTGTTTTTAGGCTTTATCAAAATTTGAGGTTTGAATTTAGCTCAAATATGTTTGTATTATTATTTAAAATTTTTTTTAGATTAATTAATTTTAACAAGAAACTTAACCTTTTACAGGTCCAATAAGTAAATTTAAAAACTTTCATTAAACCAATAAGTATTTTGTATAGCTTGTTAGCAAATCCAAAGTAACTCAGCAATTTTTACCTTAGACAATTTAGACTTTAAAATTAGAAAAAACACAAGGAAATAAAATTTTTTTTCTAGAATGAATTAAAACAGTTTAGTGCCCCACAGCAGGAAGGCAGTAGAGACTTGCCAGTGATTCCAACACTGGAGAAAAAGTCCAGGCAGCTGCTTGTTGAGACCAGGGGCAGCCCCCACTCATCTGCTGCAGTGGGTTTATAATATTTTTATAAAAACCTTTAGTTATATTATATAGTTATATTTAACCATTTTTTATTACCTTAGCAATAGTAAATGAACTTTAAATACTATTATTTAGAAATACCTTATTTATTTATTTTAAAAGAATAAATGGCAAAACTTTGGTAGGGGAAACCTCTAGTAGGGTTAACCTAGTCTCCTCCCCAAAAAGGCTTGAAGCATTTGTTTTTTATAAGATTATGTCACCTTTTTTTTTTTTTTTTTTTTTTGCTGACCAAGAGGCAAACGGCACTACCTTATGCTCACTGTGTGAATCACTAATATTTTCTTTTCTCCTTAAGTCTGCCTCAGTGCTATCCACTAATAGGTCTCGAATTTGGACCCAGAGGGGGGACCTGCGTGGGTCCCTGCTGATCATAAAATTTTTTAATTTCCTTGCCCACTTTTTTCCAGTTGTCAAGAGATAAGCTCCCTTCCTCTGGAAACCATGGACTGACCTTTAAAATGAACTCATATATATAAAAAAATAAATAAAATAAAATAAAATGAACTCATATAATTCCACAAATGATTTTTTACTTATCTTTATTTCTCTTCCTTCGAGTATATGGCCCAGAATGGAGAGAAAGTGGTCTCTATTCTTACTTTGCAATTGTCCCATGTTTATATAGACGGGGTCACACACTGGCACTGGCCGGCTCGCGTCCCTCGCGGGAACTTTGGGACGTCTTAGCTAAGGTCTGTCCGTATAAGCCCCGGACCAGGCTGTTCCAAGGAGCAGATGACCGTTATGCCGTATGATGTCCCGCGAGTGACCGGTTGCAGCTCACTTAGACTCCGTAGCCAAGGCCGTGGAGCCAACAATAACATGCATTCACACACACACACTCACGAATTGAAACTGTGGGATTTCCTGGCCTTCTCAAACTGATGATCCTTTATCAGCGAGCCCGCGGCGCTCTGGCGAGGATCCTATCCTTGACTTGAAAAGAATTAAAAACAAAGAAAGAGAGACAGCTTATCCTGCACAGTTTTTTCTTTACTTACCTTATTTTAGGGACACTTTTTTTTTCTTTTAAATTGACCTGGACTCGAGCCCCACGTTGGGCGCCACCTGCCGCGGACCAGCGCAGCAGTAGACTGGCAAGGCCGTCCCAGGGATGTGAAACTCGTGCAGGATGGTCAAGGATTTGGCGCATAAATGACAGACAGACACACTTCAAGAGTGAAGATCTGAATGTAATTTGCTCAAATCATTACGCATATTTATACATTTTTAAAAGGCATTAGGTCACACAAAATTTTTTTTTTCAGTATAACAATGTTTTTTGTTACCTAGGCATAGAATACAATTTTTTAGTTAATGATTTACAAGTTGTTAAGCACATGTGGTTACAATACATTTTTTGAAACTGATTTTTTACATATATAGAAAAAGTCAGGTAGGTAAGAAAATAGTATAATTACAGACAGGTTGTTAAGTTGCTTCTTATTCAGGAACAATGACTAACTGGTTAATAGTTAAACTACTTTGTAGGTAATTCCATCAGGCTTGTTTGTAGGCGATGTTCTTAGCAGCCTTGTTTTCAAGCAAAGGAGGGGTTTTTTACTGCGGGCTTATTGCCTAGATTGGGCTTACAGCCATTTAGACATTTGCCTAAATTGAACGCCAAAGATTTTTATGATGAAGCCCCTCGGAGACTGCGCCTGTCTTAGGTCATCAGGAGTCACAGACACGAGGCTGGCCAGTGCCTTCTTTAGTCTGCCCCCGATCTTACCCGTCATTAACTGTCCAGTCCAGCGCACAGAAAAAGGGGGTCTTATTTACTCAAATGTACTATGTGTCTAAGTAAAAGCCTCCCTCTTTCCAGTAAGTTCACTGGCGTTCAGCGGCAGAGGCTGCCGCAATGTGGGTTGCTCCCTGGCTGGAAGGTAATCGAACTGGTGCTGCAGTGGCTGCGGATAACTTCATAGTTGTGTCTTAACCCCTTGAGCCACGAGAGAGGCCCAAGCTCTTTACTATTTAAAGGAGGATAATTTATTCCTTTAATTTGAAAAGTCAGAACTAATAAAGACCAATATCACCCTATTAGTTTAGATTCCAGAACTTGAGACTTTTAAGCTTAGAATGAGTATTTGCCAAGCCCTGCTGTTAAACTTAGTTGGATCAAAAATAAACCTGAAATTTCTCAGAGCCTTTTCCTCTCATATATAACTGTAAGGTTTTACAATTTGTTTTGCTGCATCTTTATTTCAATGGAATGTGAGTGGGTCAATGTCTGAAAAGGTACAAGGTTAGTTTAAAATTCCCAAAAAATTTTGATAGAAGCATTCAAATGAAAAACTATTATTTACATTGGTTTGAGAGTTTTCAATAGGAAGTTTGTTTTAATAGTTCTTGTTTTCTGAATAACCATTTTTAAATTTCTCCCTTTTAAGACTAAATCACAAGTGAATAAATCAACACACATTTGATTTGGTTACAAATCAACACAGAAATCACCCTAAGAATAATTAAAATAGTGACATATTTCACATTATAATGGCATCGGGTCTGTAAAGGAAAAACAGAGAAGTCTCTCCTTATCTTCTTTTGTGGCATTTGCTGACTTCATTATTATTGATCATTCTTCTCAAGATCAGAAATGAGAATATTTTCTTCTAAATGGGATGCACTAAAGTTGGTTGCAGGATAGTAAGGATTTCCAAACTCTGCAAGTCTCCTGAAGACACCATTCTTGTGCTTGTATATGAAGAAGGAAAGTGTGGAAATTGCCAGAATTATTAGCAATGTCAGTGCTACTGCAAGAGGCACAATACTGTGACTTGGTTCTAAAAGAAGAAAAAAAGGAAAATTTCAGTGACAATCAAATAAGTAGATATTGTCACATGATTGTTTTGGTTTTTTATTTCTAAGAAAAAAATGTTTCAAACTTACCTTTTCCTAGGTGCTCATTTACTGTGTGAACACCTAGAATCAAATATAAAAAATACAGGTGAAGTTTTTCTTTAGATTCAGAAAAATGACATCATTATTTATAGTAGGGCTTCATAAACTGACTCACTTATCACATCTGGCTACTTATTTTTAAAAATGTTTGATTGGAATGCAGTCACTAATTTTTTTTACATATTGTTGATGACTGCTTATGAGCTACAATGGCAGCATGACAGAGATCATAGGACTCCCAAATTCTCTGGCCCTTAGAAGAAAAATTTGCTGACCACTGATTAATAGTAAGTCTTATTAGTGCTTGCAGATACACTGCTTTTTTTTTTTAAATCTAAAGAATTCCCATTCAGCCTCAGCATTGTGCTGCACTGAAAATATGAGTAAAATATAGACCCTGCCTGTAAGAATCTAGTTTTGTTGGGATTTCGTATGGAATTTGTCCAGCAATGTTAACCTCCCTGCCTCTACTCAAGGACTTTAATATCAGCATCTTCTCACTTTTGTGACCTCAAGAATTGGGAAATGAATAATATCCACTTCATTCAGAAAGTAGAGGGTATCTGTTTGAAGATTTTCAACTGTAATAATGCATTTCAAGGACACAAGTTTATGAAGCAAGAACAGGCTGTTGTAATGGAAAATGACTGAGGACAAATAAGCCAAACAAAGCTGGGCAAAACAAGAAATGACTATAAAGATATCCAAATTTCAAGACCAGCTTAAAGTTCTCATTGACAGCCACAAAACACAGCATCAATACTAAAGAAATAAATTGACTCAGTGATTGAAAGACAAATACAAATAAATAATGTTCCAGAATATATGAAATTCAATAAAAAAATCAGTCAGAAAAGAGATTTGCCATAAATGAATTTCAAATAATTTGAAGGATTAAACCAAAGCAACAGAAGCAGAAATAGTAATCAAAGATATAATAGAAGGGAATTTCCCAGGATTAAACAATGAATCAAAAGAATTTTAAGCAAAACAAACAAAAAATAAATTCACACTTTGACTTCGCTATTGCTTAACATCCTAGTGATGTTCTGAATTTTGAAAATAAAGAAAAACTCACATCAAGGAAGTAAAAAAGCCACCTATAAAAATGTATCTCTTTCAAGTGAGTTCCATTTCAAAATGTTTTTTGATACAGGTGAAAACCCAGAGAAATATGTACAGTGCCTCCCTTTCCATCTGAATCAACGTGAATCTGCTGCAAGTACAGAGCACTGTCTCTTTCACCATGAAGTTCAGCCGTTGCAGCTGGCACTCTCTGTGAAGAGATCCTTTTAGTCCCAACACCTCAATCATGAATCCTTTGCTCTAGTCTAAGCTCATTCTCAGTAACCACTTTCAGTCACATTGGGGCTTTGTCCAAGTGCCTCCCCTCTACTGCTTTCGTCATCCTTTGGAATTCCAAAGCCTCATCTCCTTTCTGAAGCCTCTCCAGCAGTCCAGGTCACACCAGTCCCTCCTTTATAATACTGGCATCTAGAAACTGTTGTGACTATTATAAACATCTTTTACTATCGGTGATCTTTGTTAATGTCCTATCTTAGAAATCTCTGCTCTTGTTTGCAACGCACTAGAATTTTCCTCCTTAGGTTTCTGAATGTATTTTTATTTTATTTTATTTTATTTTGTGTCCCAACCCCTTGCATGACCAGGGAGGCCCATAGACTTATTTTTTAAATCACTGTAATTATGTAGCTCAAGATAAAGTTAAAATATGAATTTTATGACATAGTACCACTTGCAATAGAGAATCATGTCTACAACAAAGATATCTAAACTTAGATTATATTTCTGGAAACAAAGATGAACTTTAAAAATTCCTAGTAGCGACAACCCAAATGCCCAAAAATAGATGACTGGATCAAGAAGATGTGTTATATATACACAATGGAATATTATTCAGCAATCAAAAAAGATAAACTCATGCAGTTTGCAGCAACATGGATGGAGCTGAAAGGGATCATGCTCAGCGAAATAAGTCAGAAAGAAAAAGAAAAATACTGGATGGTCTCCCTCATAGCAGGAATTTAGAAAACCTAAATAAGGGACCAGGAAAAAGAATAACTATAATAAAGAAAAAACGAAAATCAACAAGCAACTATAAACCAGAGACACACAAGTGGGGGCAGGGAGAGGAAGGATTGGGGTCAAAATAAGGGGGTACAAATGTATGGGGAATATAACCAAGATGAAAAATGTATACATTGTGCAAAAATGAAAAATTATGTAAGAAATATATATATATAAAATTCCCAGTAGCATTTCCAGAATGAAGGTTTCTGGTTTACATGTTTAGTTCTATTTGTTTGAAGGAAATTTTTTCACCATTAGGTTACCAGCTAGGGTGACACAAGTAAGTCCCACTCTTTGAGTTGATTTATAATGACTTTTTCTTCATTTCAGAGAAAGGAGGAACCAAAATGTTTTCTGACACTGATGTAGAATAAGATGATAGTGTCTGAATATACCTGAATACCTGGAATTTTAAAGCTTTGAATGCTAAAAAGGCAGGCCAATATTACTCAGGACAGAATCAAAGTGAAGAATTACCCTTTGATTTTACCCACCTGCTTCCATTTTACATATAAATCCTATCTTTTCTTGACAGGAGGATAACTGCCATATTCCTTCAGGTATCCTCATGGCAACACATAGATTCGGTTTTATGTGGTCCAGCTCTGGCTTACGAATGCCCCAGTTTGACTGGTCTGTGGGAGTTCCATCAAACCACTTTAAGGTTTCATCTGTGGAAAAATTTCAACCCTATCATGAATTAGTTTGCAGAGTTATCAAACACACTAAGATAAGAATGAGCCGTAAAAAGCAGCCCCTAAATTTAGACAGACTCCCTCTTTATCTGATGGATTAATGCAGTAAGTATAGTCATGAATTCATCCTTAAAAGGTAGATATTAGTAAAGTTGCCTTGTGAACAACTCTGTATTTATTTCAGCTATATTGTTTTAATGTAGTTCATTTAGAATATCATATTTCTTAATGTAAGTCTGGATTCTGAAATATTATTTATCAAAATCAATTTAAATAAATCATTTAATAAATGAAACTAACCACAAGAGACTATCCTTTGAAGATCTAACATCTATAGCATGGCATATTACCTCATTCAATCCATTCCACTAATAGCATGGAATAGCTATGAACAAATTGGCTTTAAATCATGGTATACCATTTTTTGTGAGTATAAAAGTTAGATGTATGTCAGTTTGGTCCATTATTTCTTTGTTGTTGACCCCAAAATAAAAACTCTGGCTCTTTTTCTAAGAGAATTTTACAGTGAATTTCCTTAAATAGCAAGCCTGTAGTGTACCAGGTGGTGGGCACTGATGGGTGGGTCCATCTGCAGGCAAGAAAGGGGTTCACTCTTTGAAAAGGATTTAAAACCAACAATAAAATAACCAAAAGTTGGTCTGCTTTTTATTATTACTGTTTTCTGGAAATTCAAAACAATGTCAATGATTGAAATATTCTTTCTTGCCAGGGTGGACCCACCCTCCACCATGGCACACCTCTGTAACAAGCTCTCCATACCAATTAAAATAATTTTCTTTATAAGTACTTTCAATAACCATCAATTATACAAAGAATACTAGGTTCTCATTTGATTAAAAAGTCTGATTTTTTGAGTAGCAAATAATCTAACAGCACAAATTAGCACTGAAATATTTACAGCTCTATTGTGCTTTTATAACATTTAAGAGCCTGGAGTATTTGCAAGTAAATACAGTTTTGGTGTCTATAACTGAAATCTTTGAAACCAAAGTTCTAGCCAAGCATCTTCTGTAAACATAAGATAAATTTGTTTGTTTTTATTTTTGGTACTCTGGGATTATTTCAAAGGCTAAGAGAGTATAAAGAAAAGGATCAGCAATATTATCTTTGGAAGAAATGGCTTTAGGTTTCATGTTATTTTTTTCTTTGGAAATATGTCCAAAGGAAAGGTTTCTGCTTTGGAGGTGTCATTTTCATCAACATTGACCTTCATGTGTTTTTCTTCTCTACCCAAATCACTTACTGTCACCATCAAACTGAGTATTCAACCACACCATCTGGACAGAAGAACCAAAAGTAAGAAGCTCATCTAGGAGAAATGAGTTTTCAGCCTCATCTTTGATTGTTAAAAGATTAGATCCTATAAAAGAGACAAACAGCAAATGAATAAGCATTTGTGTTTACATATAAAGTTTAGAAAAATCTCTTATATTGTGATTTATAAAGGTATTCATTGAAAAGGAAAATTTTTCATCATAAATCATGATTTTTGTTTAGAATTTTCAAGCTAAACCATACTTATTAAAAGATACAAGCTTGTATTTAAGAATTTAAAGCATAGACTGTTGATTTTAGGGAATATTAAAAATTCATAATTCAAATGCATTGAAAAAGAACATTTTTTGGTGTTGTATTTGAAAATATCATCTTAGGTTTTTGAATACTATACCAGACATTGAGTTTTATATATTAGCTATCTCCCAAACAAGCAAACACAATAGTATTTATTTTTTCTAATTGTTTAGTTGCTTCTAAAGTCACTATATAATCAGACAAATGAAGAAAACTATATGATTTACTGAAATGTCAAGAAGGAACACATTGAAAGCATTTTGCAATCACAAAAGGATTACCTTCTTTTTTGCAAAATTCGTGAGCAGCCTCAAAACTTGTACTGTTTAGCACTGTAGAAAAACTGTAGCAAATACTTTTGAATTTTATCCAGGGAACAGATGTTTCTGAGCACATCTCTGGGAGTCCAAGTGATCTTGTTTCTGTGAACAAAATCAGCTATGAATTTCACAGTGCTTACGGGTTCATTTATTGAGATAAACATTGCATTACATAATATGAATGACCAAGATAAAAATATGTAATGAGATTTTCATGGTATTACTCTGAAAGAGTGAGTGTAATGTAAATGATTACAAAACTAGAACTGATATTCCTGACAGAAATCATCTTTACCTAAACATAGCAGGGAATATTAATGTAAAGCTTCATAAACTTAGTTTGGGTGCTACTTGGGTGAAGGTGGCTGCCTTTCATGTTACAGTTAGAATCTTAACATTTGGCATAATTGGGGTATGTGATTCACAGATATACTAACAGCTGAATGGAAGGCACAAGGCAGTTCCAAATGTACAAAATGTGTTCCCTATAGTGCTGAATATTACAGATTTAGCAAATCCTTCCTGCTAAAAAACCTGAGAGAAAATAATATATTCAGTAAAGTTTCATAACAATGTAATTTAACATAACACAAAACATAATGTACATAGCATAACATAACAACACAACAACATAACACAACACAGCACAACACAACAAAATATAATACAACAAGGGAAATTTGCAGTGGAATTTGCTTCAGAGGGCAAGCATGAGAGTTAGACCTATGCTTGCTGAGATCCCAAGTTTCTCGACTGATTCCCCACTCCTCCTTTAACCATTACCAGCTTTACCTTATACATGCCCAGTCCTTTGTTCTTTCCATGTCTTTGTTCTTGGTTTTCTGTTCAGAATTCCCCTCCAGGTCCCTCATCGCCCATTTACATCCCTCCCATTCTTCAAGGCCAGTCTCCACTGTCCTGTCCTTCAGGAAGGTTTTCTACTTTTCCCTAAGTGGATATGATACATTCTTTTTTCTCACTGACTTCCACAGCACCACCTCTCTTATGTCCTTTGCTAACCCTGCCTCATAAAACAGTTATTGTACATCACCTATCAGACCAGAGGCTTCCTGAGGACAGATACTTCTTACTACTCTTCATATCTACTGTTTAGCACAGTACCTTGCACCACTGCAAGTGCATAGCACATATTTCCTGTGTTGAATGGAATTTAACCTACCGGTGGGCACAAGACAAATTGCTCCTTGCAGAAATGACTCGCAGTTTGTGCCGCTCCAACGTCCATTGGTGTCAGCAAAAACACAGTCACCGAGGGAAGGTGACTCATCTTCTTTCCAAAAAGTGAAGGAGGATTTGGTCCCATCTGACCAATCGAAATTAATACCATTCTGTGGAGGAAAAGTAAGCCATTATTCCTTTGCCAAGACTGCTGGCTGGTGTATTACTCAGTGCTATCTGAGCAGCCCTCACTCCACTTACAGATTTATATTTCCACATCTAGAGTTATATTTCAAGGGGCATCTATGACAGCTTGTGAATACAGCCTGACCTGCCATGAGTAATATCTTTTTTTCAGTTTTTGGGAATCCCTGACCCTCTAGCATCATAATTTGCCAGTAAATGATCAAAATGAAGTTGAATCAATACTTTTTTTTACACTAAAATAAATTTCAGATTGATCAAAGATGCACACATAAATTTGAAAACAGAAGTGTTAAAACTTGGCTACTATTTTATATTCTTGGTGTGAGGAAAGCCTTTGCAAGTCTGAAACAAAATTTGGAGGCCATAAAGCAAAATTGATTCCATAAAGTAAAAACATAATATGAAAATATAAACAACTATGGAACATCATTCTTTCACACATATGATGGATAAGGATAATATTTTGATTATACCCCATGTTAACAAGGATTTAAAAAAAAGTAGATCTTTACATACCCTGTTGTTATGTAAATTGGTACAAACTTTTGGAAGGCATTATGGCACTACCCCTTAAAATTAAAAGCATATTTAGTAATTTCACCTCCGGGAATTTATCCTGCTTGCATAAGGATATTTGCTGTGCATTGTTTGTATTGTGAAAGACTGGGAAGAACTTGAATGTCCATTCACAGGAGAATGACTTAATAAATTGTAGCATATTCTCCCATTCTACAGGTTACTGTCCCAAGGAATGTATTAGCTTTTTATGGGCCATGAAAAGCTGGACAAGGCACATTGAATTAAAAGGCAAGTTTATATCATATTGTTTATAGCCTGAAAGACAGCATATTTAATTTTAGCTTGTTTGTATTTTTAAAAGTGTTCAAATTCATCCATTACATGTGCATATATAGAAAATTTCTAAGTGATGCTTAAGAAGCTATTTATAGTGATTGACTTTGGGGAGTAAAACTAGAGGTCAGGTTTTAGTTTTCACTGCTTTGAGTGGATAATACTTTTATTAAAAAGGAAAACAAAAAAAAAATCTTAGCCTTCAGATCACATTTCTGGAGGGAGAAAACACAGGTGTTAAATTCTAAGGGGCTGTGAATTAGGAACTAAAGTTCTAGGTGAGAAGTGTGACTCATTTTTCTTGGAGATTCCTTAAATGTTACAAATGACCCAAATGCAGGTGCTTGAATTTAAGATGTGTTCTAGTGCACACATGAGAAAGTATCCTGGGATATTCAGTAATGTTCAGCAAATCTTTGAAGGGCATTAATTTCCAGAAATTAGGCAAGATAATATTTGCTCTCTAGGTGATTGCTTGTATGTAGTAGTCATTGGCTTTTCCTAAGATTGGTCAGTAGCTACTATATACACGAATAACTTAAATGTTACATATGCTGTTATTTATGGGAATTTATTTTCTGTGTTAATTTCAGTGGCATATCACTAAGAAGATAGAAGTGAAATTTAATTATGCAAGGACATTCCAAGGGATTTAAGATACTTACATCTTCAGTGAACAGTCCAATCCAGTGAGCATGTCCTAGCCGGTTGAGGATAACGGTAAGGAAGGACTGCTGATACTGATCTGTAATGCTGACCAGTTCTGCCCCATGTACCAGGCAGGTTTTAATTGCTGTATACCACGTCATATTTGCATTAATTATTTTATAAGTCCTGTTTCCATATTCCAAGGTATTAGGGATTGGATACATATCAGATGTATTTACACCATATCCAGAAGTATCTAGAAAAAGAACAAGAATCATATGTAGCACCTGGATGGCAAAGGAGGGAGGCATAGCTTAGCATTGAACACCTTGCTATGGTCCATAGCATTGTTGACATCAGAGTTTTTCTTCTCAGAACGATCTCAAAATAAGGACACTACCTGAAATTGTAGGTGATGCTAAAGAATTAGAATACTTTAGAATTTTAATGATTGACTTCCTTCAGAACTATTCTTAGAAGATTTTCCATTTTGACCATCTCTTGGCAAACTGACCAACTTTTGGTGGAAATGACATGATTTCATTATACAAATATCACTCCATTAGCTATACTCTGCCTGATACACAATGCTAGGGCAGAATTTAATACTTACTAAGAGGACATCAACATATAATGTCATATGCAGCACTGCAAGCATAACTTTTCAAGTGCCTATTTTGAGATATAATACTTTATTAAACATAGAGGCTGTATGACATTTGCTATCATGTTTAATTACATGTATAAATTCTAAAAGTTTTTAAAAATTAAATTAATAAGGTCTTAGAAATATACACATTTCTGGGCCTCCCCTGGTGGTGCAGCAGTTGAGCACTGGCTGCGAGGCTGCCTGCAGCCTCCGCAGCGCTGGTTCGTTCCCTGGCCGCCGGCGAGGGTCCCACAAAAAAAAAAAAAAAAAAAAGAAAGAAATACACACATTTCTTATAGTTAATATTAATATATCTCTTATCAGAGATAAGAGGCGAGATTTTCTTACGTGAAATCACTGGTGCTTTGTGTTCATGAGTTATGATCATGTGAAAACCAAGCCCATACATTACACACAGAAGTTTCCTCTTTAATATATTCATTTGCCCTTTTTTGGTTCTCTATTTTATACTAGACTAGACTAAGTTTAAAAAAGCTTAAATGCAAAAACAAGGTAAGAGTTTCTGAACTGTCTGATCCAAGAGCGGCTGGAATTTCTCTTTGTATACTGGTTTGTTACATTTTGGGGTAAGAAACTTGACTGACAGTTATATACAGAGGTGGGGTAGGTACCCAGGTGAGGTGGGAGACCCAGTGTCTATGCTCTCAACCATCACTGCTTTATACTATCTCCAAAAAGAATATATGCATTGCTTATTCCAAAAATATCAAAGAGATGAAGTAGTCAGAGAATACATTCAAGAAAAAGTCAATATCAAGGTTGTAGAGTAAAATTGTTGAGTCAATTTATATTTTTGTATATTGCATGTAACTCACCTTATATGTGTTACTTATTTTGTCTAAATCTTTTTTTTTTAAAGATTTATTTATGCATACAAGAACTGGAGCACAGGCCAGAGGTGTGGGGCAGTGGGGGGGAGGGGTGAGAGGATTCACCAGAGACAGAGCGGGTAACAGAACAGGTAGATTGACCGAAGTACACTGCTGAGGGGAGCAGCAGGCAAGTCAGGAGAGGTCTGCTGCGCTATGTGGGTTGCTCCCTGGCCAGGTGGGCATCAAACTCATGCTGCAGAGGTTGTGGATTGCTTCATAGTGTGGTGCTTAACCCCTTGCGCCACCAGGGAGGCCCTTATTTTGTCTAAGTCTTAAGTTCCTCATCTGTAAAATGAGGAGATTTTAAAGTACTTAATAGAATTATTGTGAGACTTTTATGGCATAATGTTTATAAAGCCAAGGCATGGCACAAGGTACTCATAAGCATGCAAGTATTATATATTGATATTTTTTCTTTCCCTACAAGACTGCCTTTTACATAACACTTTTGCTATAACTCATATGTTAAGATCCTGACCACTGTGAACAAGGAAATGGCATTTCCCTCAGCTTTTCTGAGGAGGGGTTGATATGTTACATATGCAACACTATGAAATAGAATTCATATTCCAAATTAGTGAGTTCCACACAGCTCCAGACACAAACCATGATCATCTAAGGTGGCACAGTACAGGGGAGACTAGCACTCAGTAAAAGTATGAGATGTTAGCTATGGTTGCTTTATTTTTATTACTAAAGTTTACTTACAGTGCATTTACATTGTTCATCATTTCCCTTCTGTTTGATATTTCACACAGGAAGTCACTGGGGGTTCTGATACAGACACATGTTACATGCCATGTTTACTCATAGATACCACTTTAAGGGTTCCAATGAAGAAGTAAGTGTAAGTTGTTTTATTTCCCTGACTCTATTCCAATATTTTTCTCAATGTGTTTTTTTCATTGCCTGAGCAGATACAAAATCCCAAAATAAAGGAGTAAAACCTTTTAATATGACCAAAATGTATACATAAATTTGGTCACCACTCAAGTGGTCTCTGCAGTCCTTAGAACCTGTGTAAAGGGCATAATACTGGAATAGTGGAGATAAATTGATAATCTATATACATAAAACTCAGAGAATAAGCACTTGGCACTTTAAGCTTTAAACTGTCAGTTATACAGCGTGTAAAACAAATATGGAAGAGAAGAGTGGGCCAGGGAAATTAAAAGAATAAAAAAGCCAATATTTCTTACCCTGCATTTTTTCACAAACAAACCCATAACCTTTTCCACAGTCTTCAAAATACCATTTTCCAGTGAAATGAAAATTAGGATTACTGGAGAGTAAGGCACAGAGAGGAATGCGTTTTTGAATTTCAGTGGCATTATGACTTGGAATCTTTAAAAGAATACATGTTTTCAGAAAAATGATAACATATAACACTGGCATTCTCATTGAGGACATAGTCTTTAAAATTCAAACACCTTTATTTCTTTAGTAACATTTAATAAACCTCACAAATTATGTCATAATTAAAAATAAATAATTATTGTGATGAGTAAAGTAACTACACTTACAGAACATATGGAAATTATATAAAATAACATTATTAAAAATGAATACATTGAAAAAAAGACTAATAGAATTATGCCTACAAAATATAGGAAGTGAAAAAATCTTTAGTAATTCAGTCTCAAATAGAATCTCATGCTAAGATGATTTCTAAAAAATAAATCTTAAAACTTACATTTATTATATCAAATGGAGACCAGTTAGAATACAACACAGGCTTTCCATTTAGCCACTTTTCATAATCATCATTTTGTAATCCTATCCACACATTAGTGTTCTGGCCAAAAAGATTCATAGTAATGAAAGCTGAAAAATAAGAAAATATCATCAAATCAAATTTAATACCATGTGAACCATTTGGGTAAGCACTAAATTCTGTTTATGGCTATGATTTTATTTAAATGATAACAAAACTTAATTACTAATCAAGTGTAAGAATTTGTTACTTGTCCTTGTAAGGTAATGCAGTCTCTTTCACTTTTCAGTTTAAATTGACAGAAATTAGCTGGCCGATTGGGATTTCCTCATATTATTAATACAACAATTTCCAGTTTTCATTCAATGCCTTTCTAAAAAAAAAGAGGATAATCTACTATATTTTGATCAGAGTATACAATTGCCTGAGTATAAAATAAAGATATACAGGCAGATCCAGAGGGGGATAAAAATTATCCCATGTAATTAAAATATACTATATCTCAGATTCTTTTAGCTATCTTGAAATTTAGATCATAAATATGTCCTTATTCATTCCCTATTACTGGTGAGACAAAACTCCAAAAACATAGAATTTATGAACAATGCCATTTACTAACATTAAAAGTTGTCATAACTTAAAAACCCTAGATAAATTGAAAGTTTATGTGCCATCAACAATGCTTAATACATTGGATTGGAAATATTAGTTTAGGGGCATATTTTAGTTTAAAGACTTGAATATAAATGGCTATTTTTGCCTGAATGATCATTGCATACTCTACCTTGTTCCACCTCATTTTCAATGGCAACCAGTGACCCCTTTTGTTCAATACAGAAATCTCCAGCAGATGTCCAGTTCTTCCACTCTCTTGGGTCTTTGGGTATTTTCACCAAAAAACACTATAAAAATGTTAAAAACAATTGTTCATTTCTGGCTTTTTTTTCTAAATGAATTTAAAATTTCCCAGACACCAAAGATCAACTTTGAATATTCTTTGCCAGAAAATGCAAAGAATGGGCACTTTTTTTCTTACAACTGCTCCAAAGGTGTGAAAGTAAAACAAAGAGGACCAGCTTTGAGGGGGAGTCAATGTCTGTGTACACTTGCAATAGGCAGAAACAAAGCTGGAATGTGCTTTGTCCCGCAGGATATCAGAACAGTATCTTCTGCCTACTGAAAAATAGTATTCCTCCTAAAAAGGGAGCCAGTTTAGATTGCAAAATTTATAGTGACAGATTTAATCTAAAAATAAAAAAAACTCTATGGATGGTAATTAACAGCTTAGTTCAATTTCATTTACAAATATACTTCCTCCCTTTAAGTGAGAGAGGAATACTAGGAATCAAACCACATGAGGTATTTAAATTCACTAAGTATTTGGAATCAGCCATGTGGTTAGTAAACCCATGAGGAAGAGTCAGAAAAGAATAAATAAGCCCAGTGGGAAAAGAAGCAGGGCAGGACCAAGGAAACCTAGGAAGGAAAAACAGGGCAGGGCTGGCCAACAGTGTCAAATAGACGATGGGATTTGGCAGAGGGAGAATCGTGTCTTTGGCAGGGCAGGGCTTACTCCTTGTGAGATGAGAAATGGAATGGTAACTAACTACTAGGCAAGACAGACAAAGTAGAAAAAAAGTTCTTTCCCAAAGCTCAGCAAAATGCATGGTAGTGATGGAGGACCACAATAGGAAAAAAAAAAAAACCTGAAATGGAGGCGCACCACAAGACGAGAAACCTGGCTCATGAGGAGGTGGGGGCAGAAGAGATTAGCATAGCCACTGACACAGCTGCGGAAACCAGATCCTTAGGCTCAGGCAGCACAGGCGACACAGTTGGGTAAACTAGTATCCTTAGGCAAGCAGGCATCCAAGGCACATCCAAAGGTAAAGATATGGAGATTGAGCCCATTGTAGAATCTCAGGTGCCCTTTCAAATTCTACATAGTTATCCAAAATTAGCAACCAACTGACAGCTCACTCGGAGTGAGCCCTTCCCAAACAGAGGACTATACCAGTTCAGTCTCTGCACGGGCTGGGGCAGCATTCCCACTGCTCACCTGTGACTATGCAGGTGCCTCTTTTCACCAACTCTCTCCCTCTGCAGGGCAGCAGCTTCCTGCCTGCCCATTGTGGAACCAAGCATAAGTATTCTTAGCCATTGCTTTGTCATTTTGTGTGTAACTGCCATTTTAGAATTTTAGGTTTTGCTGGGGAACTGCATTCCAGAAATAGTTTCGACCCTCACTCTACCCTTACTCTCCGGTCACCAATGAGGGCGAACTTGCTGTAATTGGAGCTGCAGGTTGGAGCTGCATCTTGGCCTGGCCAGTCAGCTTAGAATGATAGCCTGGCAAAGTTGGAGAACACATCCTTGTAGCCAATGAGTAACTGCCAGCATAATTTAACCTTATTAAAAGACCCCTGCTTCCTTTGTTCTGGGCTCTCGGTATCTGCCACTGCGTTGGTAGGTGCCTTGAACCCAGACTCGAGTCTGAAATAAACTCCCTTCACCCTTCACGTTGGGCGCCAAGCTGTTATAGAGCAGCCCCGATATTAAACGGGCTCCTGGCTGTGGGTCCTCACCCGCGCGCTTTAAAGGGACTTATGAATACTCTACTACAGACACACACAAAAGGTTAATAAAAGGTTTATTTACAAGAGAAAAGGAAATAAGGAAAATGTACAACTCAGGGAGAAAATAGGGAAATAAAGTCTTTAATGCGTCCTACCCGATCCGACGACCTGGAAACCCAAAGTCACTCTCAGAGCTGGCCGGACAGCTGCGAGCTGGCAGAGGGCCAAAATGGGGGATCCCCAAAGCCCACATGTCTGCCTTTTATATCCACCTGGCTGCTTAACCCCACCCTCAGGTCCCAGCCACCTTCCCTTTGGTGGTGATGGGATTTGGAGTTCCCAGTGTCTTTGGCTTTGACCTGGGGTGGGGGTGGAGTCCACAAAGCCTATATGGAATTAGCTTTTGGGACATCCTTTTCCCCCTAATATTTGCATCAGCTGTCTTTGGGTTCTTGGAGGCTATGCTCCCCGAGTCTGCTAACCTTGGGCACAACACCCATGATCTGTCAAGGCCGCCCTCCTGCAACCATACAGGCCTCTCTTAGCAAACCTGTCCCTTCTAGGGCAGCTTTTCCTGCCTGCTTGTGTCTATGTAAGTGTCTTTAACTGTTTTATCCCTTCCCTAATAAATCTGCCCTTTAAATATAGCTAATGTCTCTGTCTCATGGAGAAACTTGCCTGGGAAACTCGCTGGGTGTCGCTGAAACGGGAGCTCTGGTGAAACCTTTCCCAGAGTGAACCCAAGGACCACACACTCCAAACCCACAGACTCCAAAAACCCCGACAGTAAGGCCGGATAGAGTCAGGGGAAATGGAGAAAGAGAAGACAAAGTATATACATGGCAGGCTAAGTTTGAGAGAAGCCAGGAGAGGTTTATGCAGAGGATATTCCATGTGGAATATTCTCTCATAAATGAATATTGAACATCCCTGGTCATTGATAGATCAGATCTCAAGGTAATCTCAGCTACAGATAATTCTACACAAGTGTGGAAGCTTACCCATCAGAGAGAAGTATCTTTCGTGCTTTGGAATGCTATACTTCCTCATCCTTCATTAATTTCTATCAGTCCCTCACTATCATAAATTCATTAAAAAGCAAAGAGACCAAGTGTTGCTTCTCTTGGAACTTCACAACAAAGAAGTCCTCAATAAATATTTGTTGAACAAAATAAAAGCCAATAGACCCTCAAATGGTTGTCAAATGACATTCCCAGGCAGTTTAGATTTAGTCCAGTGGTTCTCAAAAGGGGCCAATTTGCTCTTCAGGGGATGTGTTGATAATGTCTGGAGATATTTTTAGCTGTCACAGCTAGAGCAGTGTGTGAGGGTCCTATTGATGTCTAGTGGGTAGAGACCAGGGATGCTGCTAAATATCCTACAACACACAGGTCAATCCTCCCCAGCAATGATCTAGTCCCAAATGTTAATAATCCCCAGGAGTAGGGATTCTGAGTTTTCAGATCTCAGTCCTGGTCATGTCGTTCTTCAATTTAAACCCTGAAGGACTTACCCACTTAGGATAAAAACCAGAAACCCCGATTTAGCCTGAAGTTGAGTTACCAACTAAAAGAGAAAGTATATTTTAAGCCTTCTGGACACTTGTTTGCTTTACAAAGAAATGGAATTGGCTTTAAAGCATTTTAATTTTATGAATTCTGTCCTTTATCTATTTCCTTTCATTTTGGCTCTTTCCTCTAATTATGAATTCCAAAGAGTGGCACATACTAATTATTAGGAAGCCTTATCATTTAATGTGAATTCACCTTGTATTCAGATAGTCACACTAATGACCCATTCATAAACACCAAAGAAACTAGCTCAGTTTGCTCAATACATCTCTCCAGAAAACACACACATGTACCCCTCCCCACAACGTTTGCCTCACCAAGATTTACTGGCTTCGCTGTGGGAGTATAGCCTCCCATTGTTCCTACAAATATAACATGTTTACTAACACACTTTGAAATGGTGTCATTAATGCTTAAAGCAAAGCAGCAAGATGAAATGCAGCATCCTTAATTTTAAACTGTTTATTTACTTACTAATTTGCAAAATGTGATCAAGTTTAATGGATCTCTGATTATTATTGTGAGTTAATATCTTACTGTATTCCAAATGAGTTTTGAATATAACATTATTTTTTGTCTCTAAGTCATTTACAGCTCAAAATTTGAAAACGAAATTCGTGACCTTCCCCTCCAATCCCCCAAACTTGGTCCTTTCCCAGTGTTCTTACTGACATCTAAGGGCATAGTCAGTCCTGTATTTGTTTAAGCCTGAAACCTGGTAGTCATCCTCATCTCCCCACTGCATCACTTCTTCGATCTTACCATTTGAATAATTCGCTTTTTAGAGTTTCTGCACAATTCCCATTGCCCTGCCCACAGTCTCTGTCACCACCTTCTTAGCCAAAATTACTAATTTTATCTGGACTATTGTTTGTATCTCACTAATTGCTCTTAGCTATATCACCCTTGCCTTACTCCATTCTAGCATTTCCACTATAGCCTGAGTGATTATATTCAAACCAAATCCTGTTAACCTCCCTCTTTAGTTAAAACACATCAGGCATTTTCTATTGCTTTTTGGATAGAAGCCAGAAACTCTAACATAGTCTCACTCTTGCCTGTTTTTTTCATTTTAGTCCCCACATCAAATCCTTAGTAGTTCTCTATGATTCTTGTAGTTTCTTCAATATATCACACTCCTTTTCACTCACAGAATCTTAACACATGTTTGTCCCCTTACTTTTAATGCTTCCTGTCCTTCAACCACCACTGTCACGTCCTACTGTTGTATACTTTGATAGAATTGTGTGACTTGCCTTTATCACATCTGCCACAGTTGTAAATTAAGAGTTATTTTTCTCATTGATTTAAAATGTTAGTTCCCCCTCTAGTGTGTAAGTGCCAAATGAAAGGTATTGTGCTTGTTTTCTCTCATCATTGACTTTTCCATACCCAACATAGTTAAATTAATAAAAATCCTGATGATTTGTCTTTAGAAATTTTAAAGAGGAGAGACTAGTTTTTAAGGAAAAACTACCTTATGCAGGAAATCAAATACTGGCTAATCACAAACTAGATGTACAAAGAAGTTATTGGCAGTCAATTCAGTCCTTGAATAAAAATCATAAGTAGAAGCACAATCTAACACACACACACACACCCCATTGAGACTTTTTTCCTCTACAGTTCTGCTGTGACACTTAGATAACACTTAGATAAGCTATCTTAGATAACACACTTTATCTGGAGATATCCCTGATTATAACTTTTTATATCATCGAAACAGAGAAAACAATCAGTTTAAAAAACTGTTAGTCAACCAACTAGGATTTTTAATCTAGCAATAGCCAGTAAAAATTAGTCCTAGGAAATTGACAAATAAGAAGCAAAATTTAATGGACATTATATTTTGAAGCACATTCAGAACTGTGTCATGAGTAAGCTGTCATTGCCTTCTCCCAATTTTCCTTCTGTAGCTTTTTTGTTAATCAGAACCATTCTTACTACACTCGGTAGTCCTTTTAGCTGTCATTCCTCCTATTACCAACCTTTCTAATAATCTGATAAACCCACTTGTTCCAAGGTGTGGATGGCAGATGAAGCTATCTCAGAAATATTTCCTGTTGGAAAAAAATGAAGTATTAAGGCAAAAAGAGAGAGAGACTCCAATTGTGGGATTTTAGTCATACTTGCTGCAGGGGGAGGCTCTGTGGGTGAGGACTCACATGTAGTCCTGAAAGTTTACTTTGTAAAAGGTCACTTTCTGTGAGGCCTGTTGTGATCAAATTCTTAGTAATCAAATCTTCTGAATGATTTAGAGACTTAGCTGTGTGCCTGTTTTGTTGCTGTGTAAATATGGGCTGCACATTAGAATAATAAAAAAAAAAATGCCTGGATCTCATGCAGATCAATTGACAGAGTCTTTAGGATGTCACCTGCATCTTGAATTTTTTAGAAAATTATTCTGGTGAGTCTAAATATTTAAAGAGGGTTGAAGACCAATCTACTGTTATTTATCAATGAAAATTGAGAAAACAAATTATTGAGCTAAATGAGGGTGTTTTAATTCTGCTCTACAGCTTTAGAAAGCCTTCTCCTCTCATGATGACTGTATCTGTGCTTTACTCATGACCTTTTCCATTTCTTTCAAAGGAAGCATTCACTTGGTTTTTGCCATGGGTCTACTCCCCATCACTGCTACCATACCTATGTGTGTACATACTCCTTATGTTACACAGGAGGGAACATGGAATAGAGCTAAGTTGTGTGTATAAAAACATTTGGGAGGAAGACAACAGCCAAGGACTCAACCAAAATCAACCATTGTGAGTTTTCAATATTTTTTTCTCTAGTGCCAAGAATTTGACTTGCCATTAATTTCCTTAAACTGTCTTCTTTTTGTGAATGGGAGAAATTATGATTAGTAACTGCAACAGTTGTGTTCATGCTTTGCGGTTACTATATTAAGAATGTGATTTTGAGATTAGATAGACATTCCTTTGTGCCTGTTCCTTGCAGACCACTGCAAGATGCAGTTGTGCAAACAGTTGAAAAACTATCATATATAAGAATTAACTAAAAAATGAACTAAGACCTATATGGAAGAGCTAAAATCATAAAGGATTTAGGAGAAGACATAAATGGCAAATTTTCATGACCTTGAATTGACAGCATATTCTTAGATATGACATCAAACACATAAGCAACAAAAGACAAAAAATAGATGAATTTGACTTTATTAACATTAAAATCTTTTGTGCATCAAAGGACACTATTAAAAACATGAAAAGACAAACTACAGAATGGGGGAAAACATCTGCAAAACATATATCTAGCAGGGTTTAATATCTAGACTATATAATAATTCCTACAACTCAACAACAAAAGGCAAACAGCTCAATTAAAAAATGGACAAAGGACTTGAACATACATTTTCCAAAGATGATTTATAAATGGCCAATAAGTTCAAGAAAAGTTCCTCAGCATCATTAGCCACTAGGGGAATTAAATCAAAACCACAATGAGATGACACTATGCATGTACTGGGATGGCAAGAACAAAAAATACAGATAACAAGTGTTATCAAAGATGTGGAGGGACTACTAGTAATCACTGCCAATAATATGGTCCAACCACCATTTTTAACTCCAAGAGTTAAACACGTAATATTCCTATGATATGGCAATTCCTCTTCTAGTTACATACTAACAACAACAACAAAAAGACTGAAAACAAGGACTCAACAAATACTTGTATGCCAATGTTCATTGCAGCTTTAATGACAATAACAAAAAACTAGAAGCAGTCCAAGTCCATCAACAGATGAATGGATAAACAAAATGTATAAACTGATAGTGGGATGTTGTCAAGCCATGCAAAGGATTAAGTTCTAATACAGGCGATACCATGGAAAACATGTAAAGTGAAATAAGGCAATCACAAAAAGAAAAATACTGTGTGATTCCACTTAAATGTGGTATTTGAAGTAGTTAATAGAGACAGATAATTGAACTGTGGTGCCCAAGAGACGGGAGGAGGGATTGTTGCTTAATGGGTTTAGAGTTTTAGTTTTGCAAAATGAAAAAGAGTATGTGTATTCATTGCACAACAATGAATATGTATAAAATAACATCACTGAGCTATATACTCAAAAATGTTGGAGTGAAAATTCTATATTATGTGAACTTTATCACTATTTAAAAAATGAGTACCACAAATGTATTGAGTGTTTAATAAATACATATAAAATTCAAATGCCCCCATTTCACAAATTAACAATGAAAGGAAGATCATAAGGGAGAGAATACCATGCCAATAAAACTGTGTATAAAGATAGAAAATCTGCAGACCACAATCAAAAAGCAACTTCATATTAGCATATGAAATTGTGATACAGTTTGGGTTTTTAATTACTGAAGAGTTAAACATTTTTAATTTGGTATGCATTTAATTGCTTCTACCTAAGGTCTATAAAGTTATTTTATTATAAATGTAGGGGGTGAAAGTCTAGGTCTTAATTGTGGGCAGTATCAGAAATAATAAATCTGGTTTACAATACCCCCACTGGCAATTTAAAAAAAAAATTCAATTCTGCATGGAAGCACCAGCTTTATGAGGCTCAAGATGATATTGACTGAGCTAAGTTATTATTTGGTGAACTCACAAGGCAGACAGAACTCAGCTGGCCCCAAGGAAGAAAAACTCAAAAGAAGGAGAATTTAGAGTCTGGGTTAGAGGGAACTGACAACTTATTTGAGAACTGCATCTGAATACACAATGTGTATAAACACACACACATATACACACACAATTTATACCTCATGAAACAAACAGCATAATGAATAACTCTGTCAATAGTAAAAAATGAATATACAGATAAAGGGTGGTATCCAGGCTGCTTCTGACAAAAGCTTTTTATTTCAAGAGACTTCTTCAATCGCTTGAAAGTTGTGATAAAAACATCTCTAGGTCCCACAGACAAAATGTGATTCATAAAATCATACCCACTTTTTTGATTACTTTCTAAAACTCACATCTACAGAAGACAAACAAAGGCAAATTTTGGGAGACAAGTTTACCTTATAGTTAAAATACAGCCATCCTTTGGGACATGTTCCATGTTGTTTTGGTGTAGTCTTCTTTTTCTCTATGACCCAAAATTTCTTTCGCTTACAGATGCTAGGCATCGAAACTGAACACTCTTCACTAGCCCAGAGTCCTGGCAGAGAAAATGGGTTAGAAATGACTTAGAAACATGGACCTCCCCAGTGGCGCAGCGGTTGAGCGCTGGGTTGTGAAGCTGCCCGCAGCCTCTGCGGCACCGGTTCGATCCCCGGCTGCTCCCCGGCCACCGGAGGAGGGTCCCACATGGCGTGCAGACCTCTCCTGCCGCCCGCTGCTCCCCTCAGCAGTGTACTTCTGTCCTTCTGCCTGCTCTGCTCCCCGCTCTGGCTCTGGTGAATTCTCTCACCCTCCCGCGCTTCTGACTGTACCCAGTGCATGTATAAATAAATAAATCTTAAAAAAAAAGTCAAAACTACCACTTTAAAAAAAAAAAAAGAAATGACTTAGAAACAACAGTGACTCTTGGTGGATATTTTCTATTGATTACACTTGTTATGACTACTATGGCTTGTCATAAATTTTTTTTCATCTAGAATTTGAAACTAAACTTATTTACCAATCATTGAGCTATCTGGTGACAACAGTAACTGGGAAAGGTGCCAAATAAGTAATTCTAATTCAAGAATACATAAATTCTGCAAATGTAAAAAAATAATAAAAATAAAAACAAAAACAAAAAACTATAAACAAATACTGCAATCTAAATCACAGAACTGAGTAAAGCTCTAAGAATATTTGATCTGATTAGCAAAAGAATATTTTGCAGAGTGATATTTTTGTTTCAAAATATTCAAATTCAATGTAAAGACACAATCTAAAACAATGGATGACCATTTCTACTTTTATATTTCTTTAGAAAATATAATACTTTAGAGAAATTGACTTAAGAACTAAGAAAAGGGCACTTCTCAACATAGACTTTTAAAACAGGCACATATATGGACATGTCCTCTAGTAAGATAATATCTTAGCTCTTAGCCTCCTGGAAAAAATTTTTTTTTCTAATTTAGAAGAGCTATATTTTCAGAATAAATGTTACAAAATATATTTCATTAGCATTTAAGTTATAAATTCTAGAACAGGGCAAAGATGCTTGTAAATTGCAAGGGCAGATTATGAACCAAAAAGATGCAGGCAGTTTGAAGAAAGGGTTGGAATGTTATTTTCAATGCAGACTGGCTGCTATTCTTCCAGAATGACAAAACAGTCTTTCTGTAGGCTGTTGTGACACCTGCTGGCAAAAGGAGAGCTGATTAACCACATGGTTTTTCTTTTCCTAACTTTTCTCTGTAGAAGTCCTCAAATCAAGAATTGTTTTCTATGTTTTATTCCTCTCCTGGGGCACAGGCTTATTATGAACCTGTTAGGTCTGGAAAATCATTACCTTTTATTGAATAGGAAAATTGGGGTGGATATGAATGGATAATCAAATAATTCTGTACTGATGAATAGATTAAAATAAAACAAAACAAAACCTGGTCTTCAATATACATATATTTCTAAATCCAACTTATAAACAATTGGTTTTCTAAGGCACAGAGCAACTAATATCAATTGATTTCATTGAATATTGGATTCAAATGAACATTTTTCCTAAATAGGAAAATGAAAGTAAATTTCTCACTGGTTAAAGTTCTGAACAGTTGTAAAGTGGATACTAGAAAGAGATTTAAAATGAGCTCACACTAATTTTCATAAAGATTAGAATATTTCAGGGTATATTGCTTGTCAGTTTCAGTGGACCCATTTTTGGTGTTGTTTTGGTTCTTAAGGAAGGACTTACTGAATGTGAATTATTTTCATAAATATGGAATGAATTGAAACCCCAAACAGATTAAACACATTCAATTAAAAAGAAAAATAACCAAACAAAGCCTTCTCACTAAATGAATGCAATGATAAGGAGACTTCAAGCCCCCTTAAAACTGTCAGTTGGTATATAAACCCCAATACAGATAAATACAATAACCTATTAATGGCAGTTTCTAGAAGTAGGTGGTGGATGTCGAGTAAAATTGGTTAAGAAAGTGGAAGTTTACAAACTTAGTTATAAAATTAATAAGTCATGAGAATATAATGTAGTTAATAGTACTGTATTGTATATTTGAGATTTGTCTATATATTAGATCTTAAAATCTGCATTACAGGGAAAATTTTATCAAAATTTTTACAACTAAATATGGGGATAGGTGCTAACTAGATTAATCTTAGCAATCATTTCAAAATTTATACAAATATCAAATCATTGCATTGTACACCTGAAACTAATATAATGTTATATGTTGATTGTACCTCAATAAGAAAAATAACCTGTTATGGATGAAATGAAGCCACATCTCTGGCTCTGATTATGCATAGATCCTTCTCTTCCTTTGTCCCAGTTCTGGTATATTATCGGTGATCCGTCTTTCCAACTGTAGGAAAATTAAAAATTTTAAGGTCCTAAATATTTTATTAAATTTAAAAATGCTCATGTTTGGGTAGGGAAATAAAATTTGTAAGTTAAAAACAATGTTGGAAGGCTATTCAACAAATTGATCATTAAGATCTAGTCCAATCATTCTGCAAATAAAAGTTGTCAAACAAAATTAAATGCAAATTAATCTAGGTACATACCGAAATTCATCATTGGCTCTTTCTTCTTGAAGTCCAATCCACCAATTTACTCCATACTCTGAGAGCTATTAGAAAGAAAAAAAGAGAAATGTCAGCATTTATTCTACTTGTTTTCCCTTTTCACTATTAAGATTAATGGGGTTGCTGTTAATAGCTTTCTATTCTTCAGTATTTTACCCAATTATCTAAAGAAGAGTACAGTAAGGCCTAGCATACCTGAAACTAATTTAAATTATTCCTTCCTCATTATGAAGAAAAATTGGAATCAAATATTGGAAATAATTTTAGGCTCATACAGAATGCAGTGGCTTTCTTACAATTTTCTCTATATATTTAAAAGTGAAAATTTTAACTCCCATAATAGGGTTTAAAAAGCAATTGTAAAATAGAATATATATTTTTTCTTGACTAAAAATCTGGTGTTTTATCCTTTCAGTAACTTATGGAAGTTCATTGTATAGATGACGTCTACTTGAAAAGCAATTTAAGGCAAAAAGACATTAAGGGTATAAAAGGCTTTGAATTTTAGGCATTACTCTGATCAGTAAGCTTTTAAAGTATTAGCATCCTCCCCAGTCAAGCTGAGAGACACACTATAGGACAAAAGAATGCTACAGAATTTACAGAATTTGACAACTAGAAAATAGCTTTTATATATTTTACACCATTAATGATCACAGATCTGAGTACAATAAAGTGTGCACATGCAGACACATCTTAGAGCAAGTGTAACAGTGAACTTATGACCCAGGAAATTGAAATTCCCTCTTTAACTATAAAAGAGGAAGAAGCAGCAAGGATTTCTCTGAGACCTCTAAATCAATGTATTTTATTGTGTGTTTGCTGTGTGTGTCTGCATATGTTGAAATGTAATTTAACATTTTTATGCTAAAAACCTATTAATTTGAAGGTATTGTATATTTAGATTTGCACTCATATTTCTTCTGAAGTCCTGGGAATACATTTTAAGATTTTTTTTTCCATATGAATTTCAGATCACACAGCAGGACCTAATAGCTCTTTAACTTTCTACTTTATAAACAGATATTTTTACTTCTTCAACAGTGTAGCTGTCTGCCTTATCAGCAATTTGAGAATAATGCTAGATGGAGCAACTATAATTTTGGATCCCTGAGGTGCTGTTTCATGGACATGTTCTTACATGCTGAATTTAGATTCCTATTGTCAGACTTTGGAATGGGCCCATTGAGACTGGCTGTGAACTCAGAGGGAGGAACCACAACGATTTCATTCATTCTAAAGAGGTCTTATGGGCAACAATAGTGGAAATCAAGGCCTTATTGTTTACTGCTCCAATTAAGGGACCTCTAAAGAGAAATGGTAACTATTGCATCTTAAGTGGCAATAAATATGCCACTTTTTGCATATTTATTGCTCCCTCAATTAGAGTATATAAATCTTCCACGTGGCACACCACAACCTGTTGTGATAAGAGACAAAACTTCATAGGATACCCAGAGTGAAAATTCCCAATGTAAAAAACTGAGAATTTTAAATTTTAGTTTATATGACTTATTAAATTAATTTTTATAAAGAAATGCAAAACAACCATGGATTTCATAATATCAAATGTGTTTTATAACAGACAAGCCACAATTATCGCAAATGAACACTTACCAAAAGGAAATAAAATAGCCAATACATTAATCTTCTAAACAATATAAGAAAGAACTACCTGTCATCTTTTCAGTTAACAAAACCAAGTTATTTCAAGGTTTTAAAACGCTAGATTTTCAAAGATGATCAATAGATTTGATATACTTTTGCTAGAATTATTTAGAAAAGAAATTTAAAAAATAAGAATATATTGCAACTTTAAAATACAAATATTACACAAGACAGCTGTGACAGCTGACTGGTCTAACAGGCTAATAAGTAGTTCGTGTCACACAACTCCTCAAGTGCTTGAGGCTTCTTGCTTTTTTGCTTTCATTTGACCAATAAGAATGCTCAAAAAGCAAGTACAAAAATTCACTCTCACCTCCTAGCCTTGTTATTTGAAAGGAAAATACTGACTCATCACCTTTCCAAGATGGAGCTATCTTGTTAAAAAAAAAGAATTCTGGGGCCTCCCTGGTGGTGCAGCAGTTGAGCGCTGAGTTGTGAAGCTGCCCGCAGCCTCTGCAGCGCCGGTTCGATCCCCGGCTGCTCCCCGGCCACCGGAGGAGGGTCCCACATGGCGCGCAGACCTCTCCTGCCACCCGCTGCTCCCCTCAGCAGTGTGCTTCGGTCCTTCTGCCTGCTCTGCTCCCCGCTCTGGCTCTGGTGAATTCTCTCACCCTCCCGTGCTTCTGACTGTACCCAGTGCTTGTATAAATAAATAAATAAATAAACAAATAAATAAAATAATTTTTTTTTAAAAAAAGAATTCTGCTTCAAATATAAAAAGATTGCATCCAAATTTCTTTTTCAATAATTAGATCTCCTATTCCCCAACTAAATGTTATTTTTGTTTTTCACATTTCTAAGTTACTACTACTCTCCATAGGGGAACATAACACATAAGCAATTTAAAAATATTTAATTACATATTCTTATTCTTCCTGCTCTTACAGGATGGGTGTGCGCAAAAGTGAATATGACCTTTACATGTTTAGTTTCTCATCCTGGAATAAAATAACTTCTGGACTGAGCCATTCCAGTGGGATGTTCTTAGATCTAAGATTTCGTAACTACCACCACTATCAGCAATAAAAAGTGCCTACCATTTACACATACTGTTCAGAAATAAGAGCTGATTTAGAAACCTCTAGCTTCCTTCTTTCTAAATTGACACACTTTTGCCATGGAACCCTTTCTATTTTTTTCAGTCTTTACCACATATGCCCTCTAATAATTTCCTTTTGCGGCACAGAATAGTATCATATCAGTCAACTATGCACCTATAATACTGTCAGTACATTCTGTAGCAGCATGGCCAGCTGGGTAATAATTTTGCCTTATATATACCAGAAGGTTTGTCTGGTTTGAGATCACTACTAGATCTAGTCTTTAGCTACCTCATGGCATTAGCTATGATTTCTCAACTGCTAAGTCTGATGGGTTTTATTTTTTCCTTCCTTCTAACATTCTCACTGGCTTCCCAAACACCAAAGACTGGGAGAATGAATTATGGGAAGGGTGAAGAAAAAAGACCTGCAGGGGTCCCCAGGAATGCAAACCTCTGTTGGACTTTGACCTCAAAGTCTTTCTTTGTTCACCTCTGACACAGTTGGCACCATCTTTTGGGGTGGGATTTTAGAAGTAGCATTTTAATTGAATGAAGGCATTGTACTCTTATATACCCCTGATGTCTCTTTTCTGCTGCCAGCAGAGGATTTTTAAATGGCTTTGTATGTCAGATGGCCTGGTTTACTTCCAGATTCTACCACTAAGCTCCTGTGTAACCAAATTGCTTCACCTTTTTGGAATCATTGTTCCTCATCTGTAAAATGATAGATTTTTCCACAGAGTTTTTAGGAAGGTTAATGCCATTAAGTCTAATATTTAGCATGCTGCCTGACACTGTTAAGGCAAGTATTGGCAAAATATCAGCTCCTTTAAAATGTGCACTTTTGCCATATCAATGTATTGGTTTTCAGCCATTCACCTGATCTCTTTTTATTGCTTCCTGGGCTGAGGAGCCTTCTGTCTAGATAAAAGAACAAATGTATTTTTTTTATATCATGACATATAATTTGCTGATATTTAATGTTATGTTTTTGGCTTGACTGTTTCAATTAGCAGGAGAGGAAAGATGGTAAGATAGCACATAAACTAATGCCAAGGAATACCCTGGTTTTAGTCATTGGTCTGCAACTGAATTTCTGTGGAATTCTGGGTTGTCACTGACCCCCAATGTGTTAGATTTTCTGTCAAATCTCAGTAATAGTCTTGATCTGCTGACCTTATAGGCTGCAAGTGCACCAAACAGAAGACAGAAATGAGAGGGTCCCAAAAACTGAGAGGGATGAGTTTTTTTTTTTTTTACAAGCCCAAGACACTTTACTACAGAGAGTGAAAACATGATAGAACTAGAAATGTTCTATCGGTGAAATGACTGACAAACAGTAAATTTCTGTTTCTATTATTTTCTCTTAATCTTTATGACAAAGAAAAAAAATTCTCAAAAATGTATGATTTTTTTAATGAAATTTAAATAAATATCTGAGGAAAATACAACCCCTGCCCCCCCAAGAACAAAAGAAGGAGCACTAAGTTCTGAATTTCTTATGATTACCACTTTTATTTTGCTGTGGATGAATTCTTGCTCATGTGCAGAATGAATTGTAAGAAGGTCACTGCCTAGCCAGCCACAAACAAACTCAAAGGAGGACCATTCCGCAGCATGGATATGAAAAAGGTACTCTGCATCCTGGTAGAAGAGCCAGGGTGCATCTGAAAGAACAATAACAATATCAATAATGAAGAAATGATTGCACAATATGCTGATTTAAAAAGGCTATGCTATGCTTGCCCCCAAGTTTGTAATTTGGTCACTCAGCATTTAAAAAATAAGTATGTGTTTTTATACATATATGTACATATATACGTAGATGAGCATATAATTTACTTATTTTCCTAGTTTCATCTCAGGTAAGAAAAATTCACTTGGGCAGCAGCCCTTCTGCCCACCTGTGCCCGTGACTATGTAGGTTTTTCTCTTTGCCAACCTTTTCCTGTTGTAGAGCAGGAGCAGAGGCCTATGCTTCTGCACAGTTGGCAGCCACCAACTTTCTCCCTTTGCAGAGCAGCAGAGGCGGTTCTCCTCCCAAGGCTGCCCACCTGTGACTATGCAGACTTCTCTTTTAGCAAACCTGTCTCTTTTGGGGGCAGCCCTTTCTGCCCTTGTGTCTATGCAAGTATCCTTTATTGTTCTCTCCTTTTTTTATAATAAACCTGCCCTTTTGGATATTAAAAAAACCTTCGCTGGTATTAAAGGCCTGGGATAGATAAGTATTTTAAAATATGTGTCTTGAAAATGGAGTTAAGCTATAACATTTGTCTTTAGTCATATTTAATGGCACAACTAATTCAGTTATTTACTAATTTGTTGATTTGAACAAATTAACTCTAGAATGATACAAGAAAAGAGACCTTCAACTGGAGGAATGATATATAAAAGCACATAATTAGAAATTCAACATCTGCCAGGATAGTTCTTACCATACTTGTACCAGGATGGAATCTTGAGTCTCACATCTGTAAAGTGAAAGCAAACTACCTTGAGTGACCTTTGTTTACAGGTACACAGTTCTCAATAACTTCAGCTCTTTACACAGTATTTTGAAACTTTTTGGGAAATGAAACAAGTCTCAATAATCTTCACAGATTGAAATCATATCAAGCATCCTTTTGGATCATAATGGTGTGAAATTATATATACATATAGGTATATTAAGTAAGTTTATAGCAATATAAATATACCTTAGGAAACAAGAATTACAAATAAAGAATATTATACCCAAAGGAACTAGAAAAAGAAGAAAAAGCACAACCAAAGACAGTAGACAGAAAATAATAAAGATTAGAGCAGAAATGAATAAAATTAACAAAATAAGAGCTCAAAAAGGCAATACAAGAGAGCAATAAACCCAAAAGCTGATTCTCTGAAAATATTAACAAAATAGCAAAACTTTTGGCCAGACACACAAAGAAGAGAAATAAAACAAAATCAGAACCCAAAAGGAAATAAAAGCAAAAATAAACAAATGAAAGCACATCTGACCACATCATAATAATCTTCTGCACAGCTAAAGAAACTTGAATCAAAACAAAAAGATAGCCTAATGAAGAAGAGAAGATATTTGCAACAATAAAAAAAGATTAAAAAATGGTTGATGATCTAAATAGATATACTTCTCCAAAGAAGACATACAGATGGCTAATAGGCACCTGAAAATGTGTTTCTCATTTTTTATTATTAGGGAAATGCAAATCAAAACAATCAGATATCACCTCACATTTGTGAGAATGACTATTATCCAAAAGACAAGTGTTAGAGAGGGTGTAGAGAGAAGGGAAACATGTAAACTGTTGGAGGTGTGAATTGGTGCAGTCTTTTGTGGAAAGCAGTATGGAGATTCCTCAAAAAATTCAAAATAGAAATTTCATATAACCCAGTTATCCCACTTCCATGTCTTTCCCTCCAAAATGCAAAAAACAAAAAACAAACCCCAGGGGCCTCCCTGGTGGCGCAAGGGGTTAAGCACCGCTCTATGAAGCAGTCTGAAGCCTCTACAGCACGAATTCGATCCCTGGCCAGCCAGGGAGCTACCCACATGGCCCAGCAGACCTCTCCTGTCTCACCCGCCGCTCCCATCAGCAGTGTGTTTCACTCAAGTTTGCCTGTTCTGTTCCCCACTCTGTCTCTGGTGAATCCTCTCACACCCCACATCTCTGGCCTGTAGCCCAGCTCCATTATGCATGAATAAATAAATCTTTAAAAAACAAAACCAAAAAACAAGAACAAAACCAAAAAACAAAACCCCATTAATTCAAAAGAGATTCACCCCCTCCATGTTTATTGCAGCATTATTTACAATAGCCAAGTACTGGTAATAATCTAAATGACCAATGACAGATGAATGGATAAAGGAGATGTGGCATATATCCACAATGGAATACTATTCCACTACAAAAATAAAAAAAGATGAAATCCTGTCATTTGCAACATGAATGGACCTACAGGGTATTTTGCTTAGTTAAATAAACCAGAGAGACATGAACAATCACCATGTGATTTTTACTCATATGTATCATATAAAGGACACAAACAAGTGGATGAACTAAATACAGATATACATTTAGATTCTACAAGATAGTATAAAGCAAGATTAAAATTTAAAAAATTTAAAATAAAAAAAGAATGTTTCATATTTCACCTTTTTAAAAAACAACTTAGAAAACCAGTACTTTTGCTATTTGAAATATGGTTAGTTCTCATACTTAAAAGGAGTCTGAAGAGAGGCCCCAGGTTAAAGAAGAAAGAACTTGAACACTTGATGAGAGCCTACTGTGTGTCAGACTCTGTACTAGATCCCTTCACAAATTCATTTTACAAGTAATTTGATTTGCTTTCAAGTTCATAGTGAATTACTTCCATATTTACTAAAAACATAATATTCCACAATATTATCCAGTTATCCACATTTCCCAATACTACCTCAGAATACTGCACTGGTATCATATTCTCATTTCCCTAAGATACATTCTTTGCTAAAATAGTGCAATTTGTTTCATCATGAAGATTGTTGGCACAGTTTTCCAGGGTGCTGAAAATTCAGATCTTTGTAACTCTTCAATTGTGAAAGTGCTACAGATTGCTAGAATGCAAACACATAGTAAAGATCTTATAGATATTTTTACCTCTTGGTATTTTGCATATCCATTCACGTTTGGAACCACAGTGTAAAGGCAACAGTGTTTTATTTGCCTTATAAACAGCACAATTTCTTGCATCTTCTCCAAAATAAGTGTTGTCTAAAAATGAAGAGATAACCTGCAGCAGATGAAGTTTATTATTCTTCAGTAAGGATCCCCCACAAAAAGCTTCAAAAGATCAAAAAAGGCACCCTTGTAATCACAAGAGAATTTTGGAAGGAGTTTCAGAAGTATCTGAATATTATTCCTGTTAAATTTTGTTCTATCAAACATTACCAATTATTCTTAAAAATGCATTTCTTTTTAAAGGAGGCACACTAAATTTTTTTCTAGAAAGAAGCACTAGCAGGATTTGGCTTACCCTGGGATCCTGGAGAAACTATTATAGGTTTGGGAATATGCCAGATCTGGGTGTGAGCTTTGATGTAGATTCTTTTGCATCCACACTAAGCTTTTAGGCTCTGATAACACCATGTGGGTATTAAATAAAGATTCAACCTTTTCAATGGTTTTAATGGTCACTTGATAAAAGAGTGAATAGTAAATGTAAAATTGGAGTAGATATTTGGGAAAAAGGATGTTTTGAAACTGTTTTCCCCCTCATGCATGTACAGTCATATAAAATTCATCTAATTTAAATATATATATATTTGCTCCATATATATATATATATATATATATATATATATATATATATACACATATATGCTCCAATTCAGAGAATGGTATGAGTTTGAATAGTCACTTTGTCCAGTCACTGCTTCATGGCTTCATCTCATTTATGCTAACCCAAATGCTCTATTCCTCCTCCGTTAATAATGAGTTTGTTTCACTATAACAAAATGAAACATTCTCAGTCTTCTCATGCTACATTTAATTTTTCAAGTGCCATGTTAACTTTGACCACCAGACTCCCTTTTACAGGCAGGTGACCCCTGCTATACCTGCTCTGCTTTTCAAGTCTTGCTTTCTTCACAGGCAAAATGGTGGGGCCCAGCGCTCTCTAAGACCTTTCCTCATTCCCTTGTCCTAATGCTATTTTCAAGAATAAGTATTGGGGTGGAAATGTTATCTTAAAGGATAGTTGCTTTTCTTTCAGAAACTTTTCACCTGGGAGATAGTTTGGAGTTCTTTTCAGAGATTTTGATTCATTTTCAGGATGAGATCCTACAGCTGACTCTAAGAACTATCTACCTAATAAGGAACTTGCCAAAATAACTCTACTACTGCACAAATTTGGTGCAGTTTGTGATTTGAGTGGGAGGCATGCAAAATACTTCCAGGTTCTCTTGGTTGTTTTACCACATGTTTCTTGTTTTGAATTCATATGCTTTTCTCCAGTTTGGTAAGACTTACAGGGGTTCTATCTGACCACTCCCAAGAGCCCACATTCAATGGGTTTCTTTTATTAAATCCAATCCAGAATTGCCTTTCTTCTGTCCTAGAAGGAAAAATAAATACAATTTGACCTTTGCCATTGATTTTACAACATTATGCAAAAGATAAAATATTTAAAGTATTCATGTGTACAGAAAATAATTGATGCTAGGCAGGATACATGAAGTCAATCAACATTTACTAAACATTTCCTATGTTCAAGCCTGGAGCTATGAAGTGATCTGAGAGGTGATTTAGCCTTACTTTCTGTTTCTCCTGTTTGAATGGTGTGCTCACTAGTGATATACAGTTGGGGCAAAAAAGTCCATTGTGAGAAAAGGGCTCTCTCATGTTGGTTAGGAATGGAAAAAATTTTAATCAAAACAAGAAAACGTGAAAGAAAATTTGTAAGCAATTTGGGGACATCTCATTTCTAGAGGGATTTTACTACTTTACTACTTATTTACTGCTTCATTATACTACTTTTCTATGCTTTGATTTGTTGTTCTTTATCAAATATCACATGTATCTGAGGTTTAATCACTACCACCCCCATTTAATAAAAATGATTAGATAAGTGATTCCACAGCAAATCAGTATGAGGTGTGGCTAAGGGTTCTCTTAGGAGGGGAACACAAAAACATCAAACCACAGAGTATTCAATACATTCAACAATATAGCCTAATGGTACAGTGAACCATTTCACTAAGATTGTTTTCTGAGAATAATTTTGTAAAATTAAAGAGTTAGAAGATTCAGGAGTCATGACAGATGCTTTATTTTCCTTAATGCAGAGAAGCAAGCCTGCTCTGAAGCATCCCCTTCTCAGATACTTGAGCTACGCTTCTTGAATGAGACAATGGAAAGTAAAATGTGCCTTAGAAAATCCCAGAGATCACTGGAGACTGCCACAGTTACCTCTTATATTTGAGGTTGTCAGAGGTGAGAATGCTGCCTAAGGGTAAGCCATGCATATTATTCTCAAGGGACTGGCTTAGAAATCCACATCACTCTTCCTTCATTAAGTACTTTTTATTCTTTTCCTCACTGAATTCAGAGCTCTGCACTTTTCCTGCTATGTACTGGTTCCTAGAAGATAAACTGGAATTTTCTTTTCATCAGTTTTCTAAAATTGTAAAATTTAAATAAACACAAACACACACACACATGCATGTGTCTGGTTAATAAAACAGAAAAGCAGTGCCATAGATACTTCTCCAAAGAAGACACACATGGCCAACAGGCACATGAAAAAATGCTCATTATCACTTATTATTAGGGAAATGCACATCAAATACAGATATGAGCTACCACTTCATATCTGTAAGAATGTCAATTATCAAAAATATCAGAAACAACAAATGTTGGCAAGGGATGGAGGAAAAAAACACAAACCCTTATATACTATGGTGGGAAAGTATACTGGTCCAGGCACTATAGAAAAATAGTATGGAGGTTTCTCAAAATATTAAAAACAAAGCTACCATATGATCCAGCAATTCTACACCTATTTATCTTCCCAAAGAATGCAAAAACACGAATTCAAAAGTATATATTTACTCCTATGTTCATTGCAGCACTGTTTACAATATCTAAGATATGGAAACCATCTAAGTGTATAACAACAGTTGAGTGGTTAAAGAAGCTGTGGTATAAATACACAATGGAATACTACTGAGTGATAAAAAATAAATCACATTTTGCCATTTGCAATAATATGGATGGAACTGAAGGGGGTTAGTCTAAGTGAAATAAGTGAGAGGAGAGAGGTAAGTATCAGTTGATTTAATTCATGTGGGGAAATAAAAAACCAAAGCAAACAAACAAAAAGCCATTTGGCTTCTGGCAGCCGAACTGAGATTACCAGAGTGAGGAGTAAAGTAAAAGCAGAGGATAAAGGAGGTCTGATGGATTTTGGAAGAGAATTATTGGTACTTTGATGGTAGGCATTGTGTAATAACATGCATTTGAAAAAGTATGAATCTGCATTCCTAAAACATATACAGTATTGTAAAACAATGTTAACTCAATAAAAAAGAAAAGAAAAGCAGTGTCATAGGAAGGAGAAGAAGCATGTATGCTATGAGAATTTTTTTTGTATAATTACTATAATTAAGCAGCATATTTGTTTGAACTCCCTGGAAATCTGGTAAAAAAAGTAAACCATGCATAACATAGTGATTAGATACTGAAGATCAATAATGTGATAGATGCGTGACACTAAATTCTAGAAATTCCAAGTGTGAGAACTTATAATAATAGAAATGACATCTGATGTCATGGTGAATTTGTAAGCAGTTTCCGTATGGTTGTTGTTTCATTCAGCAAACCTCACTCTATCCAAGTATGTTCTGAAAGGGGCTAAAGGTATGAAGCTGTTGCAGTTTAGAACTATGGTGTCTATATATAACCCATGCATGGATCTTTGGCCCCACACCTGGCTAACAATCCAATTAAGCAGGACACTTCTTGAACTTTTCTTCAGCTAAAGTGAATGTGAGTCAGCAGCTCAGGTGTGGCACCAGGGTTCTGTGTTAAAATGTGTCCCAAGTGAGTGTGATAAATCAATTAGGTTTGGGAACCATGGTCTCAGGTCAGCATTTCCTGCAGAGACTAACAGTTCCATGGGACCGTTAGTAAGTATTTTCAAAAAGAGGAATTTGTTGTCTAGAAAGTACCCCTTCTAGAAATCTTTACAATGCTAATGTATATGGCAAATTTTCAAGATTGTGCGTTATTTTATAAACAAATTTAAGCACAAAATCCAGCACCCCACTCCCCACTAACGTATTCCCTGAGACACACTGGGAGATGTGTCATATTTTGTACATGTTGGAGATGAATAATTTGATATTAAGCTTCTTATGGGAGGGTCCCAAAGGAAACTTGTGGGGAAGGTCGGGATTTTCTTCAAAAAATTATTCTAGATTTCCTCTGAGATTTAGGTATGTGTTTAATTTTGAGTCCATATTTCTAGAGTTTATAGCAGAGTACCTGGCATTACATTTGCTTTTGTTAAATAAATGTGTGGAACTATGGAGATGTGTCCCTTTTAAGCCATAGCATCCTTGGGCAGGATTTTGTCTGTCATGTCTATTGGATTCTCTAACCAACTGTGCCCTCAGTAGTACCCCTTCTGTAGAAGATACTCCCAGGCTAAATGCTAACAGACAAGAACATTCTAGATAAAGATACTGAGGGCTGGGAGGACTCACTGAAAGAGGACATCATGGCTTTCTTCAAATATTTGAAAATAGGCTAAATTTGATCTGTATTGCTCTGGCTTACTAGCAAGTTGACCTTTGAACCCAGTCTCTAACAATGAATTTGGCTTTCAAAATGCGTGCTCTGAAACAGAAAGGAATTCTGCTGCTACTTGATGACCACAGGAATGTGATGGAAGGAATTCTCTCATTGTGTGGGAGGAAGAACCAGACCGCTTAGTTTTCTTTCCATTTAAATTTGATTGATTTTCTAACTCTGTAGAATTCAAGATTCTGTAAACCTGCAGATGGATGCTGATAAGCGAAGGCAGGTTTCCTCAACTGTAAAATTAGGAGGCTGCATTGGAATCTCTTTTTTAATCAGTAGAACTTTTTCTTTTTCAAACAAAGACATACATTGTCTTTTATTATATACAAAATAACTAGAAGTAGAGCTGATTGGAGTTGCCATCCTGAGTGAGTAAACAAGGAACCAGGAGCTCTGTCGTCTTGGCCCCCTTGGGGTTCAAGGACCATTGAGATCCTCAGAAAACACTTCAACTCCTTGAAAACCACTGGGCTAGATAATTTCTGAGTTTGGAAAAAAAAGTCCCTAAAGTTTGGATTTGCATTCCATAGAAAATATTTCAAATATCAAAACAATTTTCAGTTTTTTCGTATTATGGAATGAGAATTTGATGTAATATCCACACAAAATTTTATGTATAATGAAGGCATTCAGAACATGCCTCTCCAAGATGTTTCCCTGTGGCATGTGGATTATTTCAAGAGGAGGCCAGTTGAGGTTCTGCAGGAGAAACTTTTACCACTCCCTTAACTATCAAGGAGAATGAAAATTGAGGGTATTGCTCAGAATTGTAGTTGTCTCCAGAAATAAACTTTTTATTTATTTTTTTGTTTTGTGGTTTTTAATTTCAATTCCTTTGTATCATTTCCTTTTTATCAGAGAAACTTATCTATATAGCAGAGCAAACATGTAACAGAGTATCTGGTCTTCATCATACAAGTTCCCATCTCTCCACTTCCAGCTCCAGATCCCTTATCCCATTCAGGATATATACCCTCATTTCCCAATTTTCCTTACCGAAATTGGAATCCCCATTCTCTATAAAGGATGTAATTAAATCAATCTTTTTCTTCTGCTAATCTTTCTGATGCTGTTTTGATTACTAGAGAAGTCTGAGAAGAGCCTAGAACTATAGAAGGAATTTCCCCTTCTGTCCTTACAATATATCTTTTCCTTGACAACTAGTGGTTGTTGGTTTTAGGTTTACAACAAATGCTTGAGATTTTAAGCAAATTTCTAGGACACTCTAAAAAGCCATAATTGGGAGATGGAATAATTCACTGCAATTATTCAAAATTAACAAATATTTACCAATTAAATTTTGAATATAAAAGCTTATTCACAAAATTCTCTTCCTCAATATGGGCAAAGCTTGCAAGATGTGCTCCAAATTCTTCACAAAATGCTTCAGCTTCTCTCCATGTTCTTTTCATCAGGACTTTTTCACTATGAAATACCTGAGTAGTAGACAAAAAAGAGTTAATGCTGTCATTAATAAGGTGCAGCTGTTTAATTCTTTTTTTTTTTTTTTAAAGATTTATTTATTTATTTATACAGGCACTGGGTACAGTCAGAAGCGAGGGAGGGTGAGAGAATTCACCAGAGCCAGAGCGGGGAATAGAACAGGCAGAGTGATGAAATACACTGCTGAGGGGAGCAGCGGGCGTGCCAGGAGAGGTCTGTTGTACCATATGGGATCCTCGCCACTGGCCGGGGATTGAACCCGGCCGGGGTTTGAACCCGGCTGGGGATCGAACCGGCAATGCAGAGGCTGCGGGCAGCTTCGCAGCCCAGCGCTTAACCGCTGTGCCACCAGGGGAGGCCCACATTTAATTCGTGATAAGAAAATAACAGTAATAATTGTTGTCATTATCCTATATTAAAACCTTGACCCAATAAGGAAAAGAACATTTCTTGAACTAGAATATGCCTAGTCATTGTAAAACTGTGACCTCATTTTTTATTCTCACAATACATTCACGAGTTCATGATAAGCCCGGATTCATAAATAAGCTCCTTGAAGACTTTCCTCCTCTTCCCTTAAATTTCCTGTGATAGGCATATAATTTTTCCCTAATAAATATTTTTAAAGAGATGAGAGTTAAGCTAAGAGAGTTTACAAATCTCGGGACACACAGCTACAAAGAGGCTGAGTAGGATTAGATTTTGTATTTCTTACTTCCAGGATTCATGAATTTCCTCCCACAGGATACCTTCTGATAAATTAGATTGGTTAAGTGATCATGAATCTGGGCTAACCCATAGCAAGAAATATGACCTGGGACTGAAGGCAAGTATATTTCTAGGGGCTTTGGATCTTAGCTTTCCCTAAATCCTCTGTGACTTCTCAGCAGTAGTGGAAAGAAGTCAGTCAAATGGAAGGTCTGCTTCTGACTTTAAGATCAAAGAGGAGGATGGGCCTCCCTGGTGGCACAGAGGGTTGGGATGCAACCTGTGAAGCTATTTGCAGCCACTGCAGCACGGGTTTGATCCTTGGCCAGGGAGGTCACTTCTTGGCCTATTATTCCATGAATTTAATATGTAAGTGTGCATTTTAATTAGGTGCATTCAGTAGGTGTATCAAGCCATATGATACTACAGTCTCTAGAGACAAAGAGGCTGTCTCCATTCTGCTCTGAATGTTCCCATGTTCCAGAGAACTTTCTCCCAGGATTTTAGAAATCTCTAAAACAAACAAAAGACAAAATCACCAAACAAAAACATATTTCCACAAGATTATAGATGCTAACTTAAATTTAGGATCTAAAACCAATTTTCAAATTGACATTTTTCATGCCACACACACACACACACAATCAATGGTATGTGTTTTCATCTTTAGGTGTCTGGCGAGGTGTAAAGGCTATCTTTAGTAGAAGAATGGTATTCCACAGTAAGGGTTTTATTCTTTGGCTTACAAATGATACAGAATTGTGTCATTTCAATACCCAGTGAGTACCTGCCATGTTCATTTGTTATATGTAATAAGAACAATATTGATCAGTCCTCAGGAGGAAGCCTTCAGTAGCACCAGGGACATGTCAATGTTTTGACTTAAAAATTATTTAGGAATATAACTGACATGATAGAGTTAGTATACAAACACTAAGTACATTTTAGTTCTAGGCACTGCTCTGGAATAAAAAAAAAATTGAGATAGTAGGCAAAATTGAAACAATGTCAGTTCCATAGAGGTGCCCATGTAACCTTCTCATTACCTTGAAACAACTGGCCAGGCCAGGCTCTGACTCCCAGTCCAAAAAGCAAGGATGAAAGGGCCATCTTTCTTCATGCTCGGTTTTCTTCTTATTTTCAACTGGCTGCTTGCACAAGGACATTGCCTTAAAGTGTCTACAGTCCTTCACTTCCCAGCGACCAGGCGGATTCTTTCCTCGCATAACAACACAGCCACCACTGTAGCCTGAAAGCAGAAAGCAACACTTTTAATGATGTTCAGATGATCAGAACATTTTGTTTTTGAAAGAAAGCTCCTTAGAGTGTTGAATAATTGACATCTCATAAGGTGAAGGCACCCAAACTAGAACAATAAAGATGAGAAAGGAATGCCTTATTGGCATGTTTATTTCATTTCTCTTCTTCCGGAGAAAAGACTAGGTAATTGGAAAGTAAGAGAAGAAAGACTTCAAAGCCTGAAATTTGGACATTTTGAGCTTTAATGGTAAAGGATGGCAATCAGAACTGTTCCAACTTGGGGCTAAAATATTCTCTGTAACTCATCTAATACCAACATCTCTTTACTTTGAATTACTGAACTTTTTAAGTGTGTCGAGAAAAATTTAACTTACTATTTGTTGAGCACCTATGCTATATGCTGAATATTGAAATGTCATCATGAGAAATCAATGTCAAATATACATTTTAAACATATTTTGCTCTGAGAACTACATTCAACACACAAAAATATATAAATGATGAATTCAGGGTATGCTTCAAGTTATGCAGCAGAAGACAAAACCTCTTATTTGGAGAGTAGAGAAAATGATATACATTTTAAGGGGGCGGTGAAACTCTGGGCATAAGATTAAGGACAAACCTTAGGGGAAAGGACCTTTGGCTATTGACAAAACTTCATTTTATTCTTTGTGCCTGTTTGAGCATTTTGAAACATGAAGCATAATTTTTCCATATGAAAAATTTCCAAGTTAAGAGTCTCAAATTTGTGATGAAATCTTTGCAATTCATATGATAGATTTAAAAAACCTTTAAATTTCAGTGAAAAGTAGTAGAAAATAATCCCATTCTAAAAATATAATAAAAATTGATTAAGAATATATTTCTTTTTTCTTGACTCTGAGGTGATCAATTAATTAAATCAATATTCAACAACAAAAAAACCAACAAAACTTGTGCATCTACATTGCACCAGCCGAGAGCATATATTAGCTGTTAGGGATAGAAGGGCAAAACAATACCCAACTCTTAGCTTAATTTGAGGCACAGACACATAAATGATTAAATGCAATAAACAATGTATGAAGTGTATAGTAAAAGTGTGTTCAAATTTCTGTGGGGAGAACTCACAGGGGTGATGGAATCTGTCTTCAGAAGTCAATAAAGGATGTGCAGGAAGTGACATTTGAGTTGGGTTTTAAAGGATGGAAAGAAAAAGCATTTTCAAGTGATCCTTATAAAAAAGCTAGTGATTATAGATGGAGCATCTGAAGATGTGTGATGATTTTGGACCTCAAGTCACTTTAAAATGTGTCGTCACTTGATACTAGATATTTGTCTTCTTTAATTTCCCTTCAGGAATAATGACTCTACTTTTTTAGATATAGAGTGACTGGCATTATCTTTGTCAGCCACATTTTAGTTGTTTTATGCTCACAGAAACACTGAGTGGGAGATGAAAGAATACAGGAAGACACATACAGAGTATCTCATAAAGGAATGGAAACTAGTTTGTGAAAGAAGAGAAAGAATACGGGAGTTAAAGAACATCCTGTTGTACATCCTGTTTTAGGCATCAGGCATCGTAAGATAGTTCCCATCTGCATGAAATTTACAGTCCAGTATGTGTGTGTACACTATGTGTAAAAGAAGATCACAAAGATGAAAATGATGGGTCTAAACATATAACTATGATTAGAATGACTCACATAGAAGAAAAAGAAGTCAAAAGAGATTGGCCCATAAGAGGCCATTGGCTGGCTCCATTACCCAGAACAGCTATTTAGTGTTAAAGATGGAGTGTTCAAGGCCAGGCAAGAGGAAAAGACTATAGCATGCATCTGTCCCGGCCATGAATGGAGTTTGCAGGTCTGTTGAATGTAATTTTGACAAGCAACTCACACTTGGGCTGAGTCATGAGCAATAAAGTTGATGCTCCATGCTCTGTGCAATGAAATGCGAATGAAATTGAACTGGGGAAATCCTTATGGATACCCAAATGAAATATCAATATACTAATGGAGTTGCTCTATTTGGAAGAGAGGGAAAGCATACACTCCAGTCTGAGTCTTCCTTTCTTCCTCTCCCAGCAGCCTTTGACTTGGAGCCTGAAGTCTGGGGTTCTAGTGCCTGCACCAGTATTTAGTAATTAGAAACTTGAAAATTAATTAATCACAAATGACCTCATTTAGAATATGGGGCTAATAATTCCTTTTCTTTTTCAGGATTGTCATGAACATCAAATGAAATAATGTATTTAAAACATGCTGATAGATATGAAGGGCTGAAACTAACCCTATTATTTTGCTACTATTGTTACTGTCTATTTTCATTATAAAAGCTGAGATTTTATGGCAGTTTTGCCTGCATGTTCAAAGAATTTTTTTAAAAAGCTTGAATCAGCAAGTTTAAAATGTAATATACTTTTTTGTTGGCCTTGCATTTTGTCTTACTTTCCCACATCAGACAGTGATTAAATAGCTTTGGTTTTAGACACTATAGATATTCAACTCATCTTCATTAGTGAAGAAGGAGATGTTTGTGAACGGCTATGAAGATGAAAAGTGCTGCAAGAGTGCTATTGGTATTCTAAAGTGGTTAACTTAATGTAACATTTGACCCAAATTTTAGAGCCTCAGCCCCAAAGAAGCAGTAAAGTTGTGTAATAAAGGGAGGCTGGGCTAAGGGAGATATAAACTGAATTTATAATCCTATATTGTGGGGATGCTTGCAAAGCCAAATTATAAGGGGAGGGTGTGGGAAGGAGCAGAAGTGGTTTTCTTCCCAAAGAAATTGTTCTTAAATCTGATAGCTCATTTCCCATTGGAGAAGAGAAACTATCATACTATTCCTCAGGGGGTGAATCTCACAGTTAAGCCAATTCTCCTTACCTGCTTTACCATCCCTCAACCCCCTTCACTCTCTCCATCATGCTTGAGTGGGAATACTTTTGGTTGGTTAAAAAAAATTCCAAATTCTATTTGACAAAGCTATCTAATCATCAAAAATGAGCTGGGAAAGCCTCCATCTTTAAACTTTCTTGCCAAATACCCCAAAACAAACATACAAAACCCCCCCTTGGTTTGTGACCTCAGGAAAGGAGGCACATCTATAGCTGGGCCTTCAGAACCTCTGGACAATTAATTTACTTGAGTTGTCAATTATTCCTCCATTCCTTAAAATACCCCTCTCACATTCTTAGCTCTCAAGTCTTCCACCCAACTCAGCTTCTCTCTCTGTCCTATTTTCCAAGGAGAATAGTGAATCCAGTGGGGCAGATAGTGAACTTTCAAGGAGGGCTGTATATATGCCCAGTAGGGTGCTAGACAGTTCATAGGTTTTCGTTTTCCTACTTAACTTCAAAAGTTCTTTGAGGCATATGCTAATATCTACATCTTGCCAATGGAAAAACTGAGACACAGAAGTTTAGTGACCAGTCTAAGGGCACAGTAGGTGAGGGTCTGGTCTGAATTTGAAATCAGATTTATTTGACTCTGCCAGGAGATGTCAAGGTACAGAGCAAGTGGGCATTGAGCAAGAAACTGTTGAGTAGATGATTAAGTCTCCCTTTCAAATTATGCTCCTCCATTTTCATGGGCTCTCATTCCTCTGGTCTCATTCTCTCCTTTGTGTGGCCACAGCACTTCCTTGAAGACCTACTATCATAGCTACTCATGATTATTGGAAAATATGGAACTATCCAAAGGATGCCCAGAAATGGACTGTTTGTCTTCATTTTTGTGGTGGTCCATTTCAGAATTCTGATATGCCTTAAAATGCACCAGGCCTGGGCCTCCCTGGTGGCGCAGCGGTTGAGCACTGGGTTGCGAAGCTGCCCACGGCCTCTGCGGTGCTGTTTCAATGCCCAGCTGCTCCCCGGCCACCAGAGGAGGGTCCCACATGGCGCGCAGACCTCTCCTGCCGCCTGCTGCTCCCCTCAGCAGTGTACTTCGTTATTCTGCCTGCTCTGCTCCCCGCTCTGGCTCTGGTGAATTCTCTCACCCTCCCACGCTTCTGACTGTACCCAGTGCTTATATAAATAAATAAAAATAAATAAATCTTTAAAAAAAATGCACCAGGCCTATCTGCTGGCAGGGTTCTCCTTGATGTATGTAGGGACTTTTAAAGAAAACAGATCTGGCGTACTCTACTGGAATCTCATTTTCCTTGTCACTGGCAGAAGGTTCCTGTTCCCATTAACTTAAGAAAACTGGGGTAAATGTGCCCTGAAGTTATCTCATTCCTTATGAGTGAAACACACCTTTTTTCCCCCCACAACATTATCTAGATCTAGAAACAACAAATTTGTCACAGAGACTGTATTATGGAGGGATACAAAATAGAGATCTGAACATGTTCATTTTTTGTTCAGACACCAGTGAAACTCCAGTGTAACTTAGAAACATTTTTTGAATGTCTTAACTAGGATGAACTCACTTATTTTGTTCTTACCATAATGCAGCCTCCAGTTATTTTGAATATTTAATCTAAGTACAAAGCAAATTTTAGTTTCTGATGCATTAGCTTTTCCCTCAGTGAGAAAAGTTCTATTTATCATTCTTTCCTTTAATCAGTGGCACTAGTTAAGTATGGATCAAACTGTTTTTCTTGTTTTACCTGAACAGTTACTTCTATTAAAATACCAAATGCCATAGTTTCTTTATTATTATTGTGTTAATAACAATAGAATTTCCTGGTATTTTGAGATTAGGGGATTTTGGCATGAAAGGAAATGTGAATAGATGATAGGTTAAGTAAAATCCTTGTAGTCCTGAATTTGAATCCAAAGTATCAGTTTGAAGTCAAGAAGTATTTTATCTTACACCCACCACATTCTCTCTCTCTCTCTCTCTCTCTCTCTCTCTCTTTCTCTCTCTCTCTCTCTTTCCAGCTTTCCAGTTCTGTCAACTGACATGACCTGGAAACCAACAAGCAATGAGTATGTCTGTGCCAGATTGTGATACTGAAATAATACCATTTCCCATTAAAATGAGCCAATGATACTTCTTTAAAGTATCAATGTTTCTCAGTCTAGAGTACAAATGTAAGTCTTGTCACTAATAGCAAGGAAGTGATCAGTGACAACTAGAGCCACATTAAATGGTCTCAGGATGTAGTCTTTGGAGAGATTTTAATTTCCACTAAAGAGGATAATAATTGAAATAGATTAAAATACATCAAATATATTTAAAACCTTATTTCATAGTAATGTTTTATAAATCCCCCAAACCTGATCAATTACTATTTGAGGATGCTAATGACACGTAATCATTTCAAAACAATGTAGAGAATTAAGCATTTACTCTCTCTTTCTGATAAAAACTATAACAGAAGATAACCAAAAATTGATGGAGGGAAATCACCTCTTTATAGAAATATCCTAGCTATACAAAAGGAAGCCTTTAATGAGTCAGTGGACCTAGGCATTGATCAATAATAGCTGCTAATATTACAAGAGCAAGAACATTAGACATTTTATGCCACCAGATAGGGCATACAACTAGCTAGCTACTAAATATTTTTTCAAAAAAAATAATAAAATCTTAACTTCTAAAACTTCTAAAAAATGTTAATCGTATGGAAAATAGGGAGGATAGAGTAACACATTAAACAATATATGGGGATAATTAAAAAGGTCAGACATAGAAACTCTGCAGGACAAACAACCCATTTGCATTAATGGGTTTAATATTTTAAAAATTTAAGAAAAAAAAGGTAGGGCAAAGAAGAGGGAAACCTAGAACTTAAAATAGACTTCAAGATCTATCTACCCTCTGCAGTGGGTGAATAGGGGATCCTGGCTCACATAGACTGGAAAATACATTATCATATATTATTTGTGAGTCATTCAGAAAGTTGAGCATGGATTGATTTCTAATGTTATGGCATTATAGTTAATTACATCTAGGTGTCATAATTGTATTATACTCATGTCTTTTAAAAAGGAATCTGTCTTTTAGAGACAATACTGAAATATTCATGGAAGAAACAATGTCTGGGATTTGTTGTGAAAAAATATGGGAAGTTGGGGGAGTAGGCTTGGATTTAGAGGAGACACTAGTAATGATGAGTTGATAATTGATGACACTAAGTGATGGGTAGATAGAGTTCATTATACAGTTTGGAAAACATTATACAAAGTTGAAAAAATGAAAGAATTATAATCCTACCACCAATTAATATTTTGATGGTATGGCCTGAGGTGGGAGCCTAAATTGAGCTTATAAAAAGTTGCAGATTTCCTGTTCAGTGGTCAATTTATATAGACAGTCTGGGCTGGATTAAGATTCTGACATAGGGACCAAGCTAATGGATTCTCTTGTGACAGGCAAGGGGAAAAATGTGATTTAGTGTGGCGTTTCTGCAAACTGCAATTTAAAAGAAAAAGGGAAATGTAGGGGCTTTTATATTGCCATTTTCTTCAAAAAAGATTTACATTTTCATCTTATTCAGAGACAATTTACTCAATGTCAATCAGCACAAGCAGCAAAACTGAACATCATGGTATTATTTTTGCTTCAGGGAAAAGAAAAAGAGTAGTGCCACTCAAATAAATTACAGCAGAAACTTATGAATGACAAGGAGCTCTGCATCAATTCCAGATTTTAGACATCCAAATATGCCCCTAGGAAGGTAGCATTAAAAGCCAAGAATTTTGTCTACTCAAAATGTATTAATTTATTTTGACAGGTATAGACATTCCTAACAAAATTCCAAAGTATATTAGAAATGATAACCGAGCTCTTTTTTCAGTCATAGTATAACATGGAACTTCACTATTTTCTGTATTTTAATATATTCATAGATTTTTCAAATGAAAGGGTTGTTTATTGAGTGAATTGTGATATTTCTTGTTTAGAGCAATGCAAATTTAGCAGCTTTTACACAAATTTCTTAAACCAATGTTTATACATAAAGTATAATTTGTCTTTTTTGAATATAATGTGTCTTAATTTCACCTTGCAAATGTCTTTAGAAAGTACAATTAGAAAAACTATATAATTTAGAAGATTTTAAATGCGCAGCAAAATTGAGCAGAAAGTACAGAATTGTCTTTTACCCCATCTCCATATAATTCAGAACTTCCCCTGTTGGGGAAGTTGACATCCCATACCACAATGGTGTATTTTTTTTTTTATTAAAACTGATGAAACTGTGTTGATATATTATCACCCACAGTCCATGATTTATGTTAGCATCATTTTTGGTTTTACACATTCTGTGGGTGTGGACAAATATATGATGACATATACATATATGTATGTATTTATATGTGTATAATCACACACATACACCATTGTGGTGGATATATGAATATAAAATATATCGTTTCAAAGCCTGCTTACTTAATAGTTGTATATTTTCTTTGTTTAAGGTCTTTTCTACATTTTTAAATTAGGTTCTTTTATATTGCTGAATTTTAAGAGTTCTTTGGATATTTTGGATAACAGTCCTTTATCAGATAAGTTTTTGCAAATATTTTTCTTTTGGTCTTAGTTTGTCTTTTTGTTCTCTTGTCATTCTCAGAGCAGAAGTGTTTATTTATTGTTATCATCAATTAATCATCAATTATTATCACCAATTATTTCTTTCATGGATTGAGCCTTTTGAATTGTATCTAAGTCATTGGTATATGCAAGCACATCTAGGTTTTCCATTATGCTACCTTCTAGGACTGTTACAGTTTTGTACTTTATATTTAGGTTTATGATCTATTTTGAGTAAGATCTGTGTGTCGATTCTTTGTTTTTGCATGTGGATGTCAAGTTGTTCCAGGACCACTTGTTGAAGAGTATCATTTTTTTCTGTTGTATTACCTTTGCTTTTTTGTCAAAGTTCAGCTGACTGTATGTTGGTCCATTTCTGTACTCTCCTATTCCATTGATTTTGTCTATGTTTTGCCACCGTTTTGATTACTGTAACTTTATATTAAGTCTTGAAGTCAGGTAGTGCTAGTCCTTTAACTATGTCCTTTTCCTTAATAGTGAGTTGGTTATTTTGGGTCTTTTGCCTTGCCATATAAACTTAGAATCAATTTCCCAGCATCCACAAGATAATGTGCTGTGATTTTGATTGGGATAATGCTGTTCTATCGATCAATTTTTGAAGAACTACAATCTTGGTAATATTGAGTCTTCTTATCCATGAACATGGAATAGCCCCCCACTTATTTAGTTCTTTAAAGTTTTTTTCATTAAAATTTGTAAATTTCCTCATATAGATTTTGTACATAGTTTGTTAGTTTTACCTAAGAATTTCATTTTGCTGGGTACTGAATGGTAATTTGTTTTAACTTTATATTATACTTGTTCATTTCCCATATATAGGAAAGTGATTAATTTTTGTACATTAACTTGTATCCTGCAATACTGCTACAATCACTTATTAGTTTCAGGAATTTCTTTAATGATTCTTTTGGATATTTTATGAAGATGATCATGGAGTGGGGGGATTACTTTAGGATGTAGAAAAATGACTTTCTGCTAATAAAGGTATGTGTAGTCTTGAGCAAGGAACTTATACCTTGAAACTGTTAAATGATTCATATTTTAAAATGACCAGTCATATGTCACCCTTGAGAACCTGTGGTATTTATTTAGTTGAGTTAAGCATTAAGAAAACTTTGGTAGAATCTATAGAGGTAGACCAAGGAGTGGTAGGAATTTGGGGTAAAGACAGCAAGAGAGAAAGGTGGTGTTACATATAGGCTCCTACTCACGGGGCTGGTATGTATTCCAGTATGTGTACTGCACCGGCTCAGACTTCTGCCCTGCTGTCTTCCAAGTATATTCTCCTGTATTGTTTTGGTCTTGAAGAGCTATCCAAAAATAACTGTCCTTCGTTTTTACCACACTACTGATTAAACTGATCATAAAAGCCTGTTCAAACCTAAAAAGGGGAAAAGGAAATGGTTATAGTAAATTTCTGGGAATACAAATATGTCATTAAAATGTAATGAGGTACCCAGAATGGCAGTTATCATGAATTCTTTAGAATACGGAGCAGAAAAATACCTAAAGACCTGAACATTACTAATAAGTGACCAATGTCAGTGCAATTCCCAGAAATACATAAGTGAGGAAATTTGATTGTCACAGACAAGGCTTAATTCTTTTAAGGAATGGTTTCTGGCTCCAGTATCAGAGTGTAGGTGGTAAAGTCCACAAAGTTGCAATACATTTATTGGAACAAGGTGTACCCTATTTTGTAATTAGGCCACACAGCATACAATATGCCATAATTTGTGTGAGGTGGGTGGCTGCCAGTGGGGAGGAAAAAGGGTATTGTGCTTTTTCGAATGAGGATCTGCCAACATAGAACAGACACTCATCCACTCACCACATTTGCCCTGTGAGAAGGAAACAAAGATTGGAATAGCAATTGTATATCTCCCAAGTGAATTTGTTCTCAGGCATTCGGTGCCCTTGGCTTATTCTAATGTTTTCAGATGTGTGTATTCACTGGGAATAATTTTTGAAACCTAGCGATTAATCCGGGGAAATATGCCCACTTATATTTCCCCCTAAAAGTGCCATGAATTAGTGTTTATTGCTTGGTGATTGTGACCCTTTTCCACCATGAATGATCTAAAGCAGAGTCTACAAAACTTGTAAATATACTTCCACATGAGTACTAACTGCAAAAACATGAGTATTCAATCTTAACTAGAACACTGAAATTCCAAGCTAAGTTGGAAACTATCTTGAAAAAGTCATTTTCAACACATAAAAAGTTTGAGAAACATTTCAAATAGCAGTGAATTTTGGCCAGATCTGCTGAAACAATGGGAAAGGAAAGGGCTGATGAAATTACCCAGGAAAGCTAAAGAGAACATGAATTAGAATTTTTTCATCCAATTTTTAATTTTTTTCATTACCATGCATGCTTAACTTGTTAAGGGAAGCAAAAATTCAATGTGGCCATTGAAGAGTAGGGGATTTTCAAAGGAATAGGGGAGGAAAAGAGAAAGGAACACTATGAACATCACTAGCAATGTTTTGTGATCTTGGCCAACTATGATACTCATCTTTGTAGATCATATGGATTTTCCTCATGCTTTACTAAGTATTTTCTGTAGCTACTCTAGTAATTATCTAAATAGCATACATTTAAAACACAGTCAAAATTGGAAGTGTTCTTTTTGAACCAGCTTGCTGTGGTAGAACGTTATGTAAATATGCTTCAAAAAAAGAAGGTATATAAAGCTAAATACTGTGTAGAAGCTATTGTCATTTACCTTACAGTGCCATTTACCTTACACTCTGCTCACAGTGTTGGTTCTAAACCCAGGGTGCATTGCTAGTTCTTCCATTACCTTGTATACTGGCATTTGTTGCAAAATGAGAGTAAAGGAGGGAGGAGATACTTGCCTGAGAACCTGGTCACTGGTATCATTATTTATGGCAACATTTTGCTTTTTGCTTTTATCCCTTGCTGGTTTTAGATTTAGTCTGCAATAATTATAACTCTTATCCATGTTTATTACTGCTTAAAACAATAGAAACCTGGTTTTTGAATTGGCAAGTATAGCTTTAAATGGTTGCATATGATACTCATAAATCAAATCCTAAAACCTACAAATCATGATAGAACTCTAGCTTTCTTGGTCCAGTTTAGAAGATGGCATTGTTAATAAAGAAATTCAGCAAATGTCTTCCTTTTCAACAATATTATTCTAAGAAATTAACTTGGATAAGACAGCATGCAATCTCTAGAGTGTGTATTTCCAACTGTAAAGAAACAAGGGAACATTTTATATTCTTTACCACTCACAATTTGGTTTCAAATACTATAAGGATTATAAAAACTCTGGCTTATGATAATAGAGATGCCATTTTAAGTCTTTTGTACTTCTCTGTTTTAGAATTATTCATCTGAAAATATTCCAGAAAATCTTAATATCTTTTGTCTGATTTCACTGAGGTTATTTAAGTCAAATGTTCTTTTAGGGTAGAAAGTTGCCATTTGTATACATTTTTATCTTATTATTTGAAGCAGTATAACATGTTATCTCTAAGGAATTCAGTAAAGTAAAAATTGTTTGTTTTTCTTTAGAAAAACAAAATATTTTACTTGGGTATATCCACTTATAAAGTCAGATTTTTGTAGGGGAACATTTTTTTTTTATTGATTAAGACATTAACTTTTTTAATTGTACTTTATTATTGATGTAATGTTGCTTTACAACACTGTGTATAATTTATGGGCATAAGTTCAAACCACTTTAGATGAGTATTACCACACCACATGCACCAATTTTTCCAGTCAAGTAAGAAACCAAATGTGCAATTTTAGTGCAAACAAGAAAAAAAAATTGAACTTCCATCAATTTGACAGGAAAGTGTTATTCATAGTTTTAAACACTAAATTTATATGAAAATGCAATTTGAAAGTAGTAATATATTTTTTGGCATACATAGACAAAACTTCACTATGAAAGAAACATTTCAAAAGATGCATACTTCAAAAGGAGGTGTTTTATACTTGTATCTCTAGTTGAGTACTTTATTTCTTCATTGATTTGAAAAAAATGTATATTTCTTATCTGTGAACACATAGTTCTTAGCACAGACAGCTGTACAAAAAGAATTGTGCTTGTTTTACTGAAAATTAGAGATTAAAAAAAAGTAATGCACTGGAAGTAGCTTCACTTGAGACCTATTTCAGTGGGGAAAACAAAACAGTGGTTATATTATATATAGTGATCAGGTTTTGTAGGGGGAACTCAGCTGTGAACTGGTAATGCAACTGAATCCCCCCCAACCCCCATGTGGAGGGTGTTCAGTGGACTACAGTAGAGGACTATCTTACCTTACACCATTGATAAAATTAATTCACAAAGATTCTAAAGACCTAAATGTAAGAGCTAAAACTATAAAACTCTTAGAAGAATAGATAGGGGGAAAGTTTTGTGACATTTAATTTGGCAGTAATTTCGATTAACTCCAAAGGCAGGGACTACAGAATAAGAAGTGGATAAACTGAATTTAATAAAACTGAACATGTTTTGCATATCAAAGGACACTGTCAACAGTGTGAAAAGGGTGATGTGGTATGGTGACATACATCTGAATGGGTGAGATTCAGTAACAGAATTGTTAAGATATTGATGCTAAATATGTATTTGATAAAGGGTTAATATTCAGAATATATAAAGAATTTCTACAACCTAGCAACAGAGAACAAACACTGCAATTTAAAAATGGACATAGGACTCAAAAAGATATTTATTCAAAGAAATATACAGATGCCAACAAGCACATGAAAAGATGCTCAATATCATTAATGATTAGGGAAATGAAAATCAAAAGCACAGTGAGGTACTAGTCACCCAAAGGATGACTATTATAAAAATCAAACCCAACAACAAAGTACAAGTGTCGGCCAGGATATGCAGTGACAGGAATCTTTGTGAACTGCTGGCAGAAATGTAGAGTGGTGCAGCTGCTATGGAAATCAGTATGCAGGTTGCTCAAAAAATTAAAAATACAATTTTTGATCCAGAAATTCCACTCCTGGGTATATTACCCCACAGAATGAAAGGAGGTAGTCAAAAGATATTTGTACTTTCATATTCATGGCAGAATTATTCACAGTAGCTAATAGGTGAAAGCATCTTGTGCCTGTTCATGGATAAATAGATAAAATGTGTTATATTATGGAATATTCTTCAGCCTTAAAAAAGGAAGGTAATTCTGCATACTCTACAGCATGAATTAACCTGAAGGATATTAGACTGTACAAGTACAAGGATATTTTGTACAAATACAAAAGGAGACAACTACTGTATGGTTCCACTTACGAGATAACTAGAGTAGTTAACTTCATAGAGACAGAAAATAGAATGGTAGTTGGCAGAGGCTGGGGGCAGGAAAAAGAAGGAGCTATTTTTTAATGGGTAGAGAATTTCAATTTGGGAAATTGACTAAAGTCTCAGAGATGGGTGGTGGTGATTGTTGCACAATAATATGAATGTACTTAACGCCATTGAACTATTAAAAATGGTTAAAATGATCAACTTTATATTACATACTTTACTACAACTAAAAGATAACTGCAGAAGTTTTTGGGGTGTGTGGACGTTGGAGGTAAGTGGCAGAGTTGTAAAAATGCTTGAAAAATATCCACATTTAAACATAAGAGAATATGAGTTATTGCAGGATTTTTCACTTTTGGCAACACAAAATCAAATGTCTTCTGAATTATTTTGTACCAAATATCCCATGGCTGACTGATTCAAGATGTTGATATACATGCTTTTAGACAATTTTCCATGGTAACTTTGGAACTATGGTTTTCAATTCACGCTCTGTATGGAGAGCAAAGTAGCTAGGCCTGCAAAAAATTTTGTAGCACTAAACAAATAAAATTGTTATTCAGCAATAAGGATCTGTTTTTCTTTCCCTTTCTATTCCACAAAGTGTTAAAAGTCCTAGACCAAGAGCAGTTGCCCCCTAACAAAAGAAATAAGTAATTTGTAGCAGGTGGTTCTAATTGTGCCCATCAAACCTGTCGCTCAATTGTGCAGAAGAGTGGAAAATCAATTAGCAACTACAAGCTTGGGTACTGGTGAGTGACAGGAGTATCTTAACTCAAACAGGAAATCAGTAATGGAAGCAAAGGATTAGTGAGGCTGCTAGTGGACACTCTTGGATCTGAGGAAACCTTCCATTTACTGCCCAACCTTCTCAGACAAAAGATGCTGTTGAAAAATGTTTCACAGTGTGGATCTTTGTTTCCTACTTGATAATGTCTAGATAAGTAAAAATCGAGAGCATGATGCCTTTTCTTCCCTCAACTTCCATGTCCCTTGTTGGAGCCTCTGCTTTGGATGTAAACATGTTTGCAGCGTAACATGAATGGCATGCTTGCATGCTGGGAAGGATGTTTCCCGGGGCTAGTGTATCGCACTGCTGGGGCGTGGCTGTATCACACTGCTGGGACTTGGCTGCTGACCAAGTTGCAGGCCAGGTCCACTAGGAGGGGCTGGGAGGTAGAAGATGTGACAAAAACAAACTTGGCTATGCCCTAGTTCTGCTTTAGAGTTGGACAACACATTAGTATTGGCTATTGTATACAATTTATCAAAGGAAAAGTTGAAAGTATTCCATCATGCCTTGATCTAGTTTTGGTGGAAAATGAAACAGAATGGATTTTTCTCCCAGATACTTTTTATCATTTTCAAGAGATCCCCAAAGTGTTCTTAGAAAATGAAGAGTTTGACCTTTAACAAATTTCTACCTTACTTGGGTCACATTGACACTATGACTTGTCTGTAATATCACTTTTGCGTTTGTCCAGTTGTTGTTATTATACCTTCTCCACTTGTTTCATGTATTGTGTTGTATCTCTTCAGGTGCTGGCCTGCAAGTAACACCTAGACAACTACTCCACGCCATTCATTTCTGTGCAGCATGCCATTGTTTGACCTGATGCCTCCCACAAGGCAGGTATTGAATAGTTTTCTAATAAATTCTTTTTTAAGATTTATTTATTTATGCATAACAAGGACTGGGGTGTAGGCCAGAGGTGCGGAGAGGTTAGAGGATTCACCAGAGATACAGTGGGGAGCAGAATAGGTGGATTGACCGAAATACACTGCTGAGGGGAGCAGCGGGCGAGTCAGGAGAGGTCTGCTGTGCCATGTGGGTCACCTCCCTGGCTGGGGATCGAACTCGTGCTACAGTGTCTGTGGATAGCTTCACAATGCTGTCTTAACCCCTTACACCACCAGGGAGGCCCCGCTTTTCTAATAAATTCTTAACTTGATAAGTTGTGTGGTCAGGTAGTATATGAAAAGTTACACTCAATGACTATTACCCCAAAAAAGAAAAGGTGAAACAATTAGACTTATGTTCTTCAGTGAAAAATATAATGAAACTGTAATTAACAAAAGAGTGCTTCATTGGTCAGGTTCCTGAATAAAGGCCAATGTTGACTCACTGATTGAAGGACATCCAAGGTAGAAACCTTTTGTGTAGGTTAACAGATTGAGGATAAAGGCTTTCTTCTGCAGGGTGGTTATTCTGCAGAGGAGAAAGGTAGAACTAAAAATGCTGAGATGCATCAAAAGTGGGATGGACTGAGCATAAAATATTTCTTTGGTCAATTTATTTTTCCAAATACAGTTCGTGTGTGTGTGTGTGTGTGTGTGTGTGTGTGTGTGTGTGTGTGTGAGAGAGAGAGAGAGAGAGAGAGAGAGAGTGAGATGGAGGAGGAAAGGATAGAGGGAAGGGAGAGAGAGAGAGAAAGAAAGAATGTGTACATTTTTGTGAACTGTTTGAAGTAAGGAAGGTAAGCAGAGGAAGAAAATACTGGTGGCTTTGAATTTGAATGTCCTATGTGGGAGACTGGAGAAAGTACACAGGAATTCCTCCTCTAGGTTGGATTGACATATGAAATGTCACTAGATGAAACCATAGCACCAGTTGCCCTGTTTCCTAGTATTCAGAGGATATTTTTAAAGGCAATAAAAAACAAACAAACGGTGACTTGCTTTGCAGGTTATACTTTCCCATAGAACCACTGAAGAGTTCTCCTTTGCTTCTGTCTTCACCATGGAGGAGTCAATCTCCCAGCCCTCACCTTCCTAACGGAATTGCTAGTGAGTTTAAGGTTATTTTTTTATTTTTTTTTGGTATTTTTTTATTTGGTATTTTTTTATCCCCTATTGTACATCTGTAGCATGTTGCAAAGTGCATGGAAGGTAAAAGTAAAACAGGAGCAGTTTCTCTGTATGTATTGAGAAGACACTGGTGCACAGGGAAGTCTAAATCAAACAAACATAGACTAAGACCCAATAGGGAAATTTTTGAATATCCTACTATGTGGTTACGTTTAAAAATCTCATTTGACTCAAACACATTACATTAAAAATACTTAATATTAAATAAGTTTCCAATATAAACACTTAGCAAATAAAATCTCAATATAACCAGGTTCATTAGAAAATCTACTTAATTAATAATTTTTTAATGAAAAGTAGAAGTCATCTTACATTTTGGCACTTGTTACTCAAAAATCAATTTAGTGAAAGCACTACACGATTTAAATCTGTAACATATAGTATAGAAATAATTGAACACTCTTATTAAATATGGCACATATTAGATGTTGAACATTTACAGATGATGGTTAGATTTTATCATTCCAAGAGTTCTATGTCAAAATACAATCATGGTTTTTATGGGAAATTTCTACTCTACCTGTTTGTAATGGTTGCAAGTGCAGGAGAACAGTAATAACCGCTGGAAGCGTGCTCAAAGCTTCGAAGGACAGTGTCGATTTTGTAACAGAATTCACCATGTCTCTTCCATCCCTTAAACAAGGAAAGAGAATTAAGGATATAATCTAATTTAGTGAAGTAGTAAAAGATATTTTTTGCATATTCTCATTTACCTCTTATATAATTTTCTTCTTAGCCCCAATCAAAACTCAAAACTTGAATTTTTGTTTTAATATCTTGATACATGATCTATCTGGTAATGCCATTAGCTATAGCCACTTCTATAATTAATTATAATTATATATTCTATTTAATTAATTCTATAAACCTAAAAGCTGTAAGAAAGTTAATTCTTAAAGCCTAAAACTTTAAAAGCAAATAAAAATAAAGGGTATCACTCAGGATCTCTCTCTCTCTTTCACACACACAAACACACACACAACCTGTTCAGATTTATAGAATTTCATACAAATGATTTCTACAAAACAGTAGAAATCAAGTGTCAGTTCTGAAGACAGAATGCATGGGTTTGAATTCCAGGTGAACTTATTTGATCTCTCAGTTTTCTTCTCTGTAAAAGCGGAATAATAGTGTCCATGGGGCTGTTTTGAGAATCAAAGAGAGACAATACAGGCAGAGAGCTGAGAATTAATCAGGGGACTCAGTACAAGTAAAGTAGACACACCTATTTAATGATAGTATATATTTTAAAAACTTTTTTTCAATTTCTTATTTCATATTATTTCAGAAATCATTAAGGCTAGAGACTTGGGTGAATTCAGAGTGTGTAAGCTAGCTCAGAAACCAATTCTGTTATGAAACAGGGTAGTATTCACTGTATCATGATCCCTCTAATAGTGATTGGCTAAAACTTTTTTTTGGTAAAGATTATTTTTAAATTAATTGGTTATCCTTTTAGAGAGGAAGCAAGCAAGCATTGGCACTTAGACAAAAATAACAAATATGTATCTCCACCTTGGGAGCAATAAAAGATGACTCTATTCTTTAAAATCATATAGCATAGGAGATATGTATTCATTAGTCTTCTATATTGCAACTGAGTTATTTTAGTTCTTTTTCTTCCCGTATTATGAAATCAACCTCACATCAACCTATTTCTATGTATTTACAAGTTAAAATACAGTTTATTTTGTGCCATGCCAATATTTGCTGGAGTTTGAGCAGATATAATGTTTCTGCTATTTTTCTTGGAAGGTCTTATCATAAATTAAAGAAAGTCTTGTTTTAGAAATCAGCTATTTTAGTTCAATACATATTGAATGATGTGTGGATCACAGGAGCTTCACATCCATCCAGCAAGATCGAGCTCTGATCTCACTCCCTTAACTTCTACCCTCCTCTTATCAGTGTGAGGACTTAACAGCTCCAGTCAGAGCTCCCTCTGGATCACCCCAGATGGCCAGATGGCCAGAGAGGTTAGACTGCTTTTGTAGTTGGGACAACAGGAGGAGGAAGACTGACAATGTGACCTTTCTGACAAAGTATTCCTTCTTCATTATTAGTTTTTAGATTACAGCTACTTAGCAAAAAAAAGAAAGAAAGAAAGAAAAAAATTTAAGAACTAAATAGGCTCAAGTAAAGGGGCACAGTCATAACCAGAAAAACAAAGACTCTTTACTACAAGCCTTTGTTCATTGTTCATGTATTGAAAGTGGGAAGAGTAATTGATTGCATCTGTAAATATCCTTTGAACATGAGGTGCCATTTCATTTTAAATGAAATGATGATGACGACAACACTGAAACAATTGCCCTAGATCCTAAAAAGTGACTTGTTAAAAAATGAAATCTTTTGTCTTAAGATGTATTTTATAAGTTAATATTGCATGTGCAGACTGTTTAAAGAATTGCATTGAAGAAACTTTCAAAATCCTGTTCATAGACTGATGCATAAAGATTAATGGAAATTTCACCATAAAGTTAGAGAATTATCTCTAAATTCAGAATCTTTAAATGCTACTAATGCTGGTCAGAACAGGGAAGCAGTATATAAAAGTATATAAACGTTTGAATAGCACATCAGTTCTATTTCTGTTGAGACAATATTACTTGCACTTTGTATTCAAATAAAACATGTTGCATTGCTCTGAAAGCTACAATAAGTTAAAACATGTTTTAAATCATAGACTAGTTATAATTAATTTGGGAATTACAATCATTAACTAAAATGTTTTGTAACAAGTCAAATATGTCACATAGGTACTATTTGGCTATAGTACAAAGAGAAATCAAGTTTATAGTTAATTAATAAATCAAATGCTTTTTCTGAGGAGATAGGTTATTGTTTAATTGAAACAGAAAAATTGGATTAGAGGAGAAAATGATCAAAATAAAACTGTAAAAAAAACCAGATTGGGGAACATTTTGAAATTCATAAAGTGTAAAAATTGCTAATATTTAAATCTAAATTCTTTAGTGTATGTATATTGAAAGAGAGGTGACATGCATCTGCTGAGGACAGTGATTGGTAGATTTTTGATAATTTTACTGCAGGACATTGAATATATTTAAAGAAATATAAAACAGAAAAACAGATCATTTTCTGCCTTTTAAGTTTAAACCTAAATATTAGATATTTTAATTACTTAATATACCAAAAATACTTTATTACTTAAAATACTATTTATTCACTTTCCCAAATAATAAATTGCAAACTTGTACTTCACTTCTTTATTGTATGTCATTCAAACATTACAGGGAAGTGAAAAGGAAAACACAATTTTGGGTGCAGAAATTCACTTTCTGATTCAAAGAAATGCATTCGTTTTCACTCTGACATCCCACTGAAAAATGATGAAAACCTCGTGTGACACAGGGCATTGCGTGATAATCATTGTTTGTACAGATGGTGTTACAGGATCATTTAAACTTTTTATCTAAAAAAAAAAAATCGTTGTTTTGAGTCAACGAAGATGGCAAGACTATAGTCCTTGGCAAAGCTGTAAATCCTTCATGTGCTGATAATTGTTTGGTTCGTTAACAGTAGTTCACTTTCAAGGGGAAAAAATGAGATGCGGAGGAAAGAAGGACGGGTGGCAAGGAAAAGAAGAGGGAGCAAAGTGGGGATAAAAATTCACTTTAAACCAGGGTGGGTGAATTATTCCTCTTATAAGGTCTCTGTGCCCTAATTGCAAGATGAACAGACTTACCTCCTTACAGCCTAATTCAGCATCAGAAAGGACATGGCCTGCTTTCTTGCAAATGTAATAAAGTCTCTCTTGACAATCTTTAACTTTCCAGTGACCCTCCTAAGGGGAAAAATAGCACAAGTTGAAGGAATACTCCCCGTCTCCATCACTGATGCTGATAAGCCACCCTAATTGTTTTGAATAAAAATAAGATGAATGGGAGGCCCTGCTTTCTTTCCAGTGTGTAAACAATTCCAAGACACGCAATCCCAGATTGGTGGGCAGGAAGAGGGCTGCCACTAATGTTTCTTGATTGTGTGCCAGGTTTCATAGTGGGTGATTTTCATATATTATCTCAACATTCCTGTGAGGGAAGCATTATTCCTATTTCAAAGGTTAGGTTTAGTAGTTTACCCAAGATCCTATAGTCAGGAAAAACTGGAGCTGGGTTTTAATGCAAATTCAGTCTGACTTCAGATTAACCTGTTCCCAAATTTTCTATCAAGCAGATAGGATAGAGCAATGATTCTCAGTCTTTGATGGGCATCAGAATCATCTGGACAGACTACTAGAAACTGGGTTACTTTGCCCCATGACCAGTGTCTTACTCAGGAAGATCAGTTTTCAGGTGATGGTGATATGCTGGTCTGAGGCCACACTTTGAGAACTATTTCAATGAAGCCATTTCCCTGAGCAAGTGAGACTGTTGCTTCCTCTCTTCAGCAACTTCTAAGGGTTAAAATAATTGCCGTGTTGTTGCATGTATGAATCTGATGCTGGGGAAATCCCTGGAAGCCACCATAAATCACCCCAGAAAACATTTTTATAGTTGAATTTCATGTTCAACCTGCACTGTCCATCAAAGATTTTTCAAAGCCTCACTCCATTTCCTCTTTATATGATGGGTAGATACCTGCATTCGTCTCCCAGTTCTACTGAAGGCTGTTCTCACATCCTTCATTAATAATGAAATGCAGTAACTGCTAACAGTAAAAATTTATCCTCCCAAAGAATTTTTTTTTTATTTGAACACAAACCAAATCTTTAGGCTAAAGCCACGTGGTTCAAACTTTAGGTGATATCTAAGGCATTCAGGGTTTAGGGGAATATAGAACTCTTCCAAAACCCTCAGAACATATGACATAGGAGGCTAACACCTTAATGTGTAGGATCCCTCCCCTATGGAGTCTTCCAGAAAACATCTGATTATAGAATAGTGACAGGTGTACTGTAGTTGCTTGATAACTATTGGATGGATGGATGGATGGAGCATTTACTCAGCTCTCATACTGAAATGTAGATATCAACCATGATTAGGTGACTTGTTAATTGTAATAATCATATTCATACTGAGTTCTACTTCATGGAATAAGTGCATCTACTATTTTAGGACCTACAGAGCCGCCCAAAATGGGGCCCACAAGAATCACACTGGTAGTAGCATTATCCTGGCATATACAATCATATTAATACTTATCCTCATGCTTTCAAAAAGAATTTCTCTGTCCAAATTTGACTCTTTTTCTATGAACATGCTGTATGAAATATCCATGTTTGTCAAATAACAAAGGGAAATGTCAGCAGGAAATGAAGGTCATCTTAATTATAGTAAAACCTGTGAATATGGTTCTGAGTGTGACTCTGAGGCATGACCTCAGTACTATAATTATAACTGCTCTTATTTCGTGACAGCCTTAAAAGATGAAACAAGGAAACATGTCATGAAAATAAGTGCTTCAAAAGTTCCCACATATGGTTAGCACAATTACTTTGTCAAACGATTTAAATAACATTCAATAAACTGGTTTTTTCTTGGGGAGGATAGGGGTAAGGGAACTTGATATGGTATTCTGGTGCTTTGAAAGAGTGCGGATGTTTACCAAATCTCTTTAACCTCCTAAAACTGAAGTCAGTGAGTTCAGCAGCTTTCTGATCAAAGAGATTGTCTATTCCAAACATAATAAGCCCTTCAACTGGCTTAGAATTAAACTGATTCTGAATAATCAGATGTTTTAAATAATGGAGAGACTAGAACACAAGAATACGTATGATGTTAAGGCCCCAGGGACCACTACATTCATCTGAGGAAGGAGAAAGATTTCCTATTGATTACCAGTTTTCAGAGATTACGCATACTTGAGGACTTCTTTTAGTTTAATAAGATAATGGAACTTAAAAACCATCACTCTGTAGACTCCCAACACTCAGTTCTTCTCCTTATCTTCACTAGAATGGTCAGTGACACCACCACCCATAAATTTTTGCTCAAGTCACCTCCCATGTCTAATTTAGCAACAGCTCCATTCTCCAAAGACCTTTGAATCTGTCAGTATCTTTTCATGCTCACTACTCTATTCAACCATGAATAGCCTCCAAACTGGTTTCTCTTGGTTCCATTCTATCCATTAAACTATATTCTGTGTAGCAGCAACAGTTGCTTTAAATATGTAAAGCAGATCATGCACTTGGATTCATTGAAGCCCTTCTGAAGTTCCTGTACCATAGTCTATAAATCTCATATATTCACATTCTTCCTGCCCCATCTCCTACCACCACTTCACCATTCATCCCTCGTGCTGTACTTGTCTTTTTGATTAGCAAACACAGGAAGACTTGGCTTGCCTTTGGGCTTTTGAACTAGTTTCCCTCTGCCTGGAATGTCCACCCTCCTGCTCTTCAAAAGTTTTTTTTTTTTTCCCCTTTAAGTCCTAGCTTAAATGTCACCCTTCAGATAACCTTCCTTGACTGTTATGTCTAAAGTAGCTGCCTCAAGTTTCTCACCAGCATGTCACTTGTTTCCTCAGAGCTATCATCACAACTATAATTGCCACTTTTTTTCTGTATAGATGTGTTTACTGCCTAGCAGGGAAGCCCTGTGAAGAGCAGGGACTTGTCTTGCTCTCTACTGCAGCCCTCAAGTCCCAGGCATAGGTGGCCCTCAACACAAGTCCAGCAAAGTGGGCGCTGAACAAATGAATCAACTTACAGATTGCTCTGCTGAGACACATAGCTGGCTTCTATTTGGAAAAATTTGGGGCTCAAGTGTATGCCAATTAGTAAAGGTGACAGAGGAGCCATTAGACCATTCAAAGGAAACTGGAATTTTACTGCTGCTCAAACCAATCCATGTTTCTGATGCATTTTCTGTAAGAGATAAATGTAAATTACTTACAGGAATCCTAGTATCTGAAAAGGAGATATTGCGCTGGGGCTCTTACTAAAATATACCACTTTGCATGTGATTTCTTCTTTTTCATGTGATGAAACCTAATTCCTCATACAAAATATCTGTTTAGCTTTTTACCCTTATACTGTCTAAACCTGCTCTACATGTAAGCCTTCTGAGTGAGGGAAACTATGAGAAGCCAATGCAAGGACAAACTTTTAAACAAATCTGATTGCTGGGACTCTAATTGGTTCCTGCTTCTGTATGGAAAGTAGATCTGAAAAATCTGGTTTTGCTACTGCCTGGAAAAAGGAAAAGTAAAAAGATCCATTGGATTAGGGGGAAAGTATTTAAAAAAAAAACCTCAATAATAGTCTAACTTTACACTTTTGTTTTGCCATGTAAATAAAAGAACAGATATTCTTAGCAGCTTTGAAATGAAAGCAATGGGGTTGCTGGAAAAGCAAAAAAAAGTTTGGTAGCCCAGTAGAGTGAAAATACAGTAGGTGAGAAATGATGTTCTAGTGCCCCTATTGAATTGAGGCAGTGGCAGGGTTCTTTGAATCTCAAATGTGAAGAGAGAGGGAAAATGACAGAGAAAGATTTTGTTTTTACTTGAAACCAAATCTTCACAATAAAAACAACATCAGAATAAAGTCTGGAAATGTATTTTTCATTAAAAAATTCACCGTAATTTCAATGTTTTTTTAGCAGAATCAAAAGTCAAATGTAAGTAGAAGCATATCCGCTTGGCTGGTGGAAGCTAGGTAAAACTAGGGGATTGGAACTCCTGAACATCACACACAGCTTGAAAACACCACAGCAAATAAATTTCCATCTCTTTGGCCAAAGTTCCTGATATTTAAATGCAATTATTTGTCTAAGGAATTCCCTGCAGTTCTCGGCTTACATGACCACATCACACTATTGCTCTCTGGTGGTCATAAAGCTAAATTACAGGTTCAGCTTTATTACACGTTTCAGAAAATGACCTCTGCCCAATTAAAAAAAAAAAAAGGCCAATATTTCTGGCATATGTGAAACATTAAGAAGTTTCTGAACATGTATTTTCTAAAAATCCAATAAATTTTTACTCCTGGATATTATTTTGAAACTTCGGATAGAATATTTAGAAACTTTTAGGTAGTAATTATTCCACTAATACAGATAGTTATTATATTGCATACCTCTTAAATCAAACACATTTGGCACTTACCATTTCCAAGGAGAGTTATAAGAAACTCCACTTCTGCTAAGGAAACTATTTCTATTAATGCACTGTTTTCAGACTGGCAAGAATGCAAAGCTTCATTCCAGGTCTTTTCCTCTTTCTGAAGTTTATAGCAATTACGGTTGTGGGGATTCCAGCCAGGTTCACAGTGGGTAGCATAATATTTCCAAGCGTCTTTTTCTTTTTAAAGCAACAAAAAAAGTCATTTCCCAGTTATTTTAATGGGACTTATTATCTTTAATATAAGTTGCTATCAATATGTAATTACTTAAACAATTTGAAAAACAAAAACACATGAGAGAAAAATAACATATACATCATAAAATTCTTGATCTTCAGAGTTGAGACTGATCCAATCTATGATCTAGATCTAGGATCTAAGAAATCTCAGGTCTTCATTTTCCAGATGAGCTATCTAAGGCACAGAGTTCAAGAGACTTGGTAAAGGTCATATAGCCCAGTTGCAGAATCAGGGTGAAGTGTAAGTGCTTGATAATTTTTTTTATTGTTATGTTACATATCACTTTGCATATGCTGAGCTTATTTTTTTTTTTAATTGCACTCACTTCAAAGACATCGGTAGGGTCAGGACTGGACACAGAGCAGGTTTTCTGATCCAGCAGACTGGGTAAAGGAGGAGTCAGAGTCCTCAGTGTTTTTTTGCAGGTCTTTTATTGGGATTTAGTGGTACATAGCAGGCAGGAGTGCTGGGGGGCCGGGAGGCTGGCAGTCCTCCCAGCCCCCAGCAAATCTTCACTCTGTCTGGGCCCTCTGGTGTTCTCTGCTTCTCTCTCGGCTTCTGCTACTTCTTTTTCGGCTTCTCCTGGCATCCCCCTGATGCCACCCTTAAAAGCCCAGTCTCAGCCCAGGTGAATCCCATCTACCTATGCCCACACCCTATTCCAGGTGCCCGCCATCAGGCATGCATTCGGGACCGCAAGGATCCATCATCTATCCTGATGGTTGGGGGGGGGGGCAGAAAAGCCTGACATATTTCCTTGCCCTACAACATCCATTTCAAATAAACGCATGGCCAGCTATGTGACTAGATAAAGCGCCTGCTTGTTATATCTAGAAAGTTCCCCTTTTTCAAGGTCAAACTCAATAATTGTTCATTTGACTACCTGGTTTCCCCTTCCTTTGCTTTAATTTCTTTGCTTTAGTACACCAGTGAACTCTTGAAATCTTAGACATCCCACCCTGAAGTCCACTGTAGGCAGAACCCCAGGTCTGTGCTCTCTCTTTCTCTACCCATGACTTTGCTATCTGGCCCTGAGTGTGCTGTGCACCCCCCAGCATCTATGAATATTAAATTTAGTTTTGTTTTTTTTTTCCAAAGTTCCCTAATGGTTGTTGCTGAAAATGGTCAAGCAGTCACAATAAGAACCACAAGGGCTAGTCTAGCTAGTCTTCACCTGGGCCTCGGTGAGTACCCACAGGCATTTCTTGTTGATATGAATAGACTGAGACCAGCACAAAACATAGGGAATAATTGTAAAATTTAGCAATTAGAATGGTCCCTATTTGAAATCTTTTTACACTGAAAAAGTAGTTTATGAAACATAATTTAAATGGTATTTCATTTAATGTATTTAATTTAATTTAATATATAATTTAATGTATTTCACTTAATATATATTACATACATATATATTATATACACAAAACAGTTGGTTTGCTATATCCACAGTTACCACATCCACAAAGAAAAACAACTGTGGATGGAAAATACATACTATCTAGTGAAGCCCGTGGTGGCTGTGTCGGTATTGAACATGTATAGACTTTTCCCCCTTGTCATTACTCCTTGAATAATAAAACAGCTATTTACATAGATTTCATGTTATATATTACAAGTAATCTGGTGATGATTTAAGGTAGATGGGAGGATTGTATGTTGGTGGAGGTAGATATTTATCCTGTTAAGTGTGAAATTCTGGCTGCTTTTTCTAGACTGAGGGTCAGTGTAAGCTCCTGTAGTGGTCCTTTGGGCCAATATGAACTCCAGGTTAGACTTATAGGAAAATGGTGCCATGATGCTTTTTTTCAGGAAGGCAGTGGTGTACATGCCAAGTGTGGGTTCTTTCCAGAAGCTTATCCCCAATTTGGTAATAGCATTTTTACTTTATTTTATTAACCACAACTGGGTGCTTCCCTCAAGTACCACTTTAGTTAGGCAAAATTTCACTGCTATGTGGGAAACAAGATACTACTTTAAAATTGCTTCTAGAAGAACTCTGACTGAAATTAGAATCACAGAGGAATAATGTCAAAATATTTAGGTTTTATCTACTCTGGCAGTTTTCAATCTGAAAAAATAGTCATGGAACTTCTTTTAAAAAGGAAACCTTAGATTTTACTCTAAAGGTGAGACAATAAGATAAGGAAGAAATCTGAGAAAAGGGCAGAGCCAAATATGGAAGTCGAGGATCCTGGAAATGCAGGTTGAGAACACTGGTCTAGATCAAAAGAATTTTTTGAACTTGAATCAAAAGCAAATAATTCAAGCAAATTGAGCTGAACTGCTTCATTTCTGATCTTCTGAACTCAACTAGTAGATGAAGAGAATAAATAAAATAGAAGAAAAAAGGGTGATAGAAGTGGGTTCAGGAGGGTATAAGAGAGAAAAGAAAAATGAAGAATGAGGAAATGCAGAAATGAAGATGGAAGAAGGGAGCAAGGAAAGGGGAAAAAAACAATAACAATGGTAGAATTTCAGTACATTCTTGAAATAATGAAAAAAACTTTTCCATAAAGAAGTGGCACAATGCTTCTTTATCCAGACCATATTCTACAATACCAGTAGGCTAGCAACTTAGGAAATTTAAATTGTAAGGGAAAATATTTTTAAAAATAATTCAGCTTATTATTTAAAATGTAGAATTGTTTTGAATTATGATAATGGCTCTTTTAAAAATGGTTATGTTTTTAATCTCCACTTTCTGAGTGAAGATGTTAATTTCCACAGAAAAAAAGAATAGACTTAAAAACAGAAATTGGACTTTAGGTGCTAGATTGTTATTAGGTATTTAAGTCTTAGTTACGCCTAAAAACTTTGTGTGTTACTTAGGGACAAAGATGTGCTACTAATAAAAGATATAGAATATAATAAGAAATCCACTTACTAAACAATTTTATGAAACAGTTTTCTAACATATATTTAGTTTCTAGGAAAACCATAAATAGAACTCAAAACTAGAACAGAAAAGGAAACATATCTTAATTTCCTAGTACAGAATGGCTGAGAATGAAATTTTTTAAAAAGAGAGGACAGAAAATATTTTCTAATTTTGGTTATTTTGTTTCAATTTTTAGTAAAACCCTAAATACATTTGTTAGATTCATGGTGCTTTTGGATAATAAATTATCATATAGTTAATATTTAATCATATAAATATAAAAACCAGCTTTAGCTATGTATAAATTAGGAATTAATTAACAAAAGAATAGAGAAGAGTCTCGCTAGTGGCCCAGGGTTTAAGTCTCAGCGCTATTAAGCCATCACCAGCCACGGCAGCATGAGTTCGATTCCAGGCCAGGGAGCTAACCGACATGGTGCAGCAGACCTCTCCTGTCTTGTCCACTGCTCCCCTCAGCAGTGTATTTCAGTAGATCCTCCTGTTCTACTCCCCACTCTGTCTCTGGTGAATCCTCTCATACACACACCCTCCCACCTCTGGCCTACACCCCAGTTTTTATATGCTTAAATAAGTAAAATAAATCTTTAAGAAAAATAGAGCAACAGAGGAATTTGAATTTGTTGATAGGATAAGCAAGAAACTCACAAAAACAATTTAATAAAACCACTTACCAACCACTTCCTGATCTGTGTGGTTTAGGTATTTTTTACATATGTAAGGCAAGTTGGAATCACAATCCCGACTTTTCCAGGCATTTGACAGAAATGAATTAAATGTTCCACAGTGATATTCAACAAATGGCTCAAAATTAATATCTGAAAAATATATTCAATCACTTTCATATAATATATATACAATATATAATATATAGAGATCCGGTTTTAACACCTAGGAATCAGCACTTCTCTTTGGCATATGTAGTAATCCCAATTGTATTGTTTTAGAGTAGAAAAATATTTTAATTGTAATTTGTTGTTGTTTTTAAAACAGCTGATGGCTATTGATCTTGGCTTTGACCCAAAGCCTCCTGCAACCTTGGGTAAATTACTTACCTTTTTGGCCTCCAATATGTTGTTTGAAAAAGCTTGTCATACAGGAATTCAATTAGGCTCTTAAACTATTTATAAACCACTTTTAATATAATGTGACATAATCATGTAGGAAATATTGCTATTTAAGGCTATGGGGTGAAGCCATCTGTCAAAAGAAAATAACTCTGGGAGTACCTGGGTTCCAGTTCAGATAGTTGAGCGGTGTTCTATCAGACCACTGCCAGCCAGCATTTTCATCCAGCTGATTCAGACCTATCCACACTTCCACTGATTCACTGTTCAAGTGCTCTGAAATGAAGGGCAATACGGAGTTTCAAGTAAAAAAAAGTCAATGTTACACTTCTTTCTTGCTTTCTTATTCCTGGAACAAGAAGTCATAAATTAACCCCAGTCAAGGACAGAAAAGGGTTTAAGTGACTAAACCCCACCCTTGTACTTCAGAATAACAAAGCCAGCCTCTCAGGCCTTGAGAAATCCTGCAGTCTTTTAAAGACTTCCTGACAACAGTGGTTTAGCTGTGAAGAGCTTACTCTAAGCATCCCCAAATGCAGCCTTTCAATGTCTGGTCAAATGCGTGGCTACAAATTTGAGGCCCTATTATTTGTGTAGCTCATGCACATCGAGGTTTTAGAGGGTAGAGGAGGAAGTGTCCAAGGACAGAAGGTGCCTTCCCTAAACACCTGTCCCTGGTGACCTCAGCTTGGAAGCTGGACTCAAGGGGAAGAAGAAATGCTGTTAAATCTGTGCAGTGGGTATGTGTGTGTGCATGTGTAATTTTCTGCACTTTTCAATATTTTGGACTATTTCACACTTAAAAAATTGAAAGATTTCTTTAGGAGTGTGGTTAGAAAAAAGGAAACAAGTATCAGTGAATGGAGGCAATCCTTCAGCTTTAAGAAGGTAAAGTGAAATAAGTCAAAAAGACAAAGACAGATACCTGGTAATTTTACTCATATTTGGAATATGAAGAAACAAAGCTAATGAACAGACAGAAAGAAAGCAAATCCTTGATTCTAATAATAGAGCTGAGGTTACCAAGGATGTGGGAGCAAAGGGTAAAGGGGCCCAGTGGATTGTGGTAGAGGTGGTTATTAGCACTTTGCTGGTGGACTTGGTAAAAATCTATACTCCTAAAATATAATGTGTTGTAAACCAATGTCACCTCAATTTTTTAAAAAGCCAGGCTAAAGCAAGTGAGGGCTAGGGGGGTGGCAGGGGGCTGCTGTGCAGTGTGTGAGCCAGTGGGGGATGTCTGGTGAAGAGGAGCAGCCTAAAACTAGTGATAGAGCATCCAGAGGGATGCATAGCAGGCTGGGGCATGCTGGGATGTAGGGGCCAGGTTCAATGCTAATGCATGGGGCTGCGGCTGCTTCTTGGGCTGGTTTTGTGGCCCTTGCTCCTAATCTTGGTGCTACAGCTCCTCACATTTTAATTCAACTCCATTTTTTTTTCTTTTTTTAAAGTTTTTTTTTTTTTTTAAGATTTATTTATTTATGCATACAAGAGCTGGGGCACAGGCCAGAGATGCAGCTGGTGAGAGGATTCACCAGAGACAGAGTGGGGAACAGTGGGCGAGTCGGGAGGGGTCTGCTGAGCCATATGGATTGCTCCCTGGCCAGCCGGGGATGGAACTTGTGCAGCAGAGCCTGCGGATTGCTTCATAGTGCAGTGCTTAACCCCTTATGCCACCAGGGAGGCCCCCAACTCCATTTTTGCTACAAAGATTGTTATAAACATACTTGTGCAGAAAAATGTGGTTATTAATTACAAAATTAAGGGAGATTTTCTTTTTGTACACTTGCATCTTAAAGTTTTCTAGAACAAACATTTTTACATATGGCATCAAATTGGGAGAAAAACTGTCAGAAACTTTTAGTGAAACTGGCCAATATTGTGAGAATTTCAAATGTTGGCATTTTATCTTTTAATCATAACATTTAATCATAACAGTTGACACTGTTATGGTTCATCTGCTTTGTAACCCTATTATTTATTTATTTTAAAAGATTTATTTATTTATCTGGGTACAGTCAGAAGTGTGGGAGGGTGAGAGAATTCACCAGAGCCAGAGTGGAGAGCAGAGCAGGCAGACTGATGAAATACACTGCTGAGGGGAGCAGTGGGTGGCAGGAGAGGTCTGCGCTCCATGTGGGACCCTCATCCAGGGGCCGGGGATCGAACCAGTGCTTCAGAGGCTGCGGGCAGCTTCGCAACCCACCGCTCAACAGCTGTGCCACTGGGGAGGCCCTGGAACCCTATTTATTTTGAGTCAGATTCAGGGGACTGCCTGAGACTAAGACCTTTATAGCTATGAGTTATAAATAGGGTGGCTGTATGTCCTATTTTGCTAGGAAAACTCAGTTTATGCTAGTAGTTCCAGAGTAATTATCAGTTGCAGTTCCTTTTACTCTCAAAAGAGTTTTAGTTTGGATGGTCTATTGTATGCTCACCCAGGGTATAAAGGTCAGTGTATTCATATAAGGCAGCCTCTGTTTCTGGGCATTTCAACACGATAATGGAACACTGAAAGAACCTAACATGCTTAAGAAAAGAGAAAAAGTACTTTATAATTTTGAGACTCCAGAAATCACATAATATTTATGGATCTTGTCCTTGCAAGTTTTTGTGGCATTAACATGGAATCTTTTCTCAATGTTGACTTGATTAGTACTTTAAAAAAATAAAGCACTCTTTGATTAAATCATGTAATCGTAATCATGGTGACAGAGGACGAAAGGGAGGTAGACCAATAAGATAGAAAAACCTCTCCATTTTGTATTCAGGTAAGTATCAAGTGATATTTTTAAATAGTCTAATTAAAACATAAATTATTCTTATCAGAGTTATTTTCATATTCTCCATGCAATTGTTTCAGCAATACACATAAAAATCATTGTGCAATCTGTAATCTCTCAATTTGCAAAAAGAGTCTTACTTTGTAATTAAACTGGCTCACAATTCTGTGATAACAAACTCAAATCTTAATTCTTTTGGCCACTTCTTGGCATTTGTGACAGCTTAAACAATTCCTTATATCATAAGTAATAATCACTAATGATTAGCAGGAAATTTTAAACTATTCTCATTAAAAATTACCTAGGTCAGAACAGGCTTCTGTCTTTATGACTTCTGTTTTCCTAAACAACTCCTAAAGTGTAATTATAGAATTATATTTAAATGCCAATCCCTGGTGTATCTTATTTCTTTATTTGAATTTGATGTCAGTCCAAGCCCTTTATTAGAAATTCCAGCAGTCAAGATAGGTGACAATTGACATTCACAAAAGGTACGCAAAATTTTCTATAAAAACCAGTAAAGGCCAATAATGATTTTTGAAATGAGTATTTTCCTGCAATGAGACTAACTCAAATCAGTTTCAATAATAATTTCCCACTTAATGCATATCTACGGACAAAGGGGCAGGCATACACTGTTCACACATTTGTTACAATCCTTCAGGAAGGTATTAATAACTTTCAAAGCCTTAACATGTGGTTCCTTTTCCAACCAGTGGACACATGTGTACAAACTCATAGAGAAATAAATGGGGATCTATGCATAAAGGTATATGCAGGGATGGTTAAAATAAATAAAAAACAATTTTATCTGTCTATCAATACCTAGTAATAGGGGATTAAAAAATATATTGTTGCTAACCCATAACACTACACTACCATTAAAAATATTGATATAGATCTATACTGACAGACAGGGACAGATGATCATTATTTGCAAGTAAATGAGATAAACTATGTGTATATTTGCTATTCAATGGTTAACACACACTATTTGTTAAGTATGCCAGGCACTTTTCTAAGACTTCATCTGTACTATGACATGTAGGCATTATTATTTCCATTGGATAGAAAAAGAAATTGAAACACAGAGGTTAAATTGCTTGCCTGTGTAGTCCTGTTAGGTCACAGAGGTGGGATCAAAGCTCTTTGGTCTCTGGTCCTAGCTGTGGTATAACAGCCACCCCAGTTTTTTATTCAGTGTCCCTGCCCATAACTAATATGTATGCATGCATTTATATGTTTTTGCAGAAAAACATGGTTATTTCTGAATGTGGAATTATGAGAGGTCTTTTGTTTTACTTTCTATATATTTGAAATTTATTTTTTCCTAGAATAAACATGTACTACATGTATTGATATAATAAAATTTAAAAAAGATGTCAGACACTTTTAATGAAAGTGAGTAATTTTGTGACATTTTCAAATTTTTCCAAAACACTTTGAAAAGCTGTATATATACACTTACAAATACATTTAATCTATAAAGGAGAAATAAGAGCAGAATTTACTGACAGATGATACCCAAGATCCAACTCATGAACATAACTCTTTTGACATCTTACATCATTGTCTTACATTGTTAGTTAACAAGCATTTACTTTTGCTTTTCCAACTAAATTTTAAGTTCTTTGGCATCCACCACAATACCTACTATGTACCTGCATGCAGTGAGTGATAGGTAAGATTATGTTTAATTAATAAATGATTTAATTATTTGTTAATAGACATCAAATGATGAAGATCGCCAGAATCACAAGAATTCATACTTGAGTTTAACAGTCTACAGGATCCACTTGCTGGAGGTGCAAACTCTCCTGGGTTCCTTTCTGGGAACTCAACTTCTCTTCACCACGGTGGAGAAAATAAGGAAGACCTGACAGGGACTCAGTACTTAGGTCAAACTTCTGAGTGTGAGTAGCCCAGATTTTTATTAAGCATCCATAGCTTTTTAATAAGAGAATAATATTTTTAAGAAACATTTCTTCCAGAATACACCTTTGCATGCGTGGACTATTAACAAAAGTAATTTTAATTGTATCAATATTAGTATGTATCTTCCACCTACTTACTCCTTATGAAATTTTCTTCAGTCTCATCTGCAATACTTAGTAAAGCACCACCTTGCATCTGGCATGAAGAATGTGCCTCACTCCAGGACAGAGATGAAAGTAGGTTGAATTGGTAGCAAATGTGTGTGTTGAGGTCCTTCTCCCATACAGCATCACAACCCACCTCTGCAGATGCTGGAAACAAAATCCATTAAAACAGTAACTGTAATTGCATTTTATCTCTAAAGCAATATATTTCTAAGATGAATTTGAATGAAATGATTCTAACTTGCAGCCTCTAAAGCCTCAGAGCCTTATCTGTTCCTGATTAGGTCTCTATGATGAAATCCATATTGACAATCCATTGGAACTAAATTGTTAAACTCTTTCAAAATTTAAAGGAAATTCAAGAAATGATCATTAAAGAAGCTCTGATCATTTCTGGGAAAATAATAGAAACCAATTTTTGGAGAAGAAAACAGAAATGAAGGATTTGTGAATATAACATTCATTTCCTTCAAAACTAGTCATTTACAACTTTATTCTGAAAACTGTATGAATGGAAATGTTTATTTGAGAGAGGTATAAGTGTTGTTTTAAAAGGCTTTCCCCACCCCCCAAACCAAATTCTAGATGGCATAAAAGGGACACAGTAGGAATATGGGTCTATAATGAACACATTTTCAAATAAACATTGAGAACAGGAACATTGATATTTAGTTTAAGAAAATGAAAAGAAGCAAAATGCATGTGTAAAACATTGTCCAAGGATTGTGCTAAGTATGCTTAAAAGTAAATTTAATGAAGTATGAACTGTGGCTCTGAATCTGAAGTTTATTGAAACAACAGAAAATGATGACCTAGTTTGGGTGTTTTTGCTAAAATTTAAAATCAAACCATACATGAATTAAGCAGACAGTAGAGTTACCTGAAATCAAACTCAACCAAAGAATTTCAAATGTAGAAAATGTGAGCCATGCTGTAGCAAGAGCACAAATGATGGGTAGGTGATGTACTCAAAACTAGAACAGTCTTTCCCAAAATGGAATAGAGAGTAATTCAACTTTAGGAGTCCCCTAAGAAAATCTGGGACATAATGCATATATAGCGTCTACCGGGAAATTCATTTTAGCATATTAAGAGCTCTGAGATTCTATAGTAAAGAAATTGCTAGATTTAAATCCAGATTGTTTCAAACATATTTGACAATGAGATCTTTTCTGTTTTGATTTTTTTTCCCCTTAATATTTAGCTGGTTTCCTTGGGAATACGGAAACTTTGTTTTCATGTCTGGTTGCAATGTCATGTCTGGTCCAGAACTGAGTTAATTAAGCAAAAGTTATCGGTTCCCATATATAACGTTATCTATGGGGTTTCCTGACTAACACAGGTATTTACAGAAAAATCCAAGAGTGAAGGAGGGCAGAAGACAAGATTATCACCAAGTAAACCTGAAGGAAAGGAAAGGGAAAGAGAGGAGGGAATTTTTAGTAATCATCTTGCTCTGGTGAGTAAAAGTTCTCCATTGACTTTCAGTTCTTGTAGATTGTCTTCAGTTAAAATGCTAGGCCATTGCTGAGATAGGCAATGCAATAAAAATTATCAGAGGTCAGTTGAGCCCCAGTGTGGCAACCAAGGCCATGGGGGAGGAACAAGAACTTACAAAATTTCAGTGTGTTGAAAATCCTTTAGTCAGCTAGTAAGAAAAATACCAATCCCTTGTTCTCAATCACAGACATTCTGAATCAGTAGATCTGGAGTAGAATTGGGAAGCTACATTTTAAACAAATTCCTGATTCTAAGGCCTATGTTGCGCAAAACAAACACTGGGAAACACTGGCTTAAAAAAGAAGTTTAAAGCACTTTTCCAAGGAGTGTAGGTGTAAGTAGCCTTTTGCCACTATCAGATAGTAGGATGTCAGAAGGAGACATGAAGTGAGAGGACATCAGAAGGAGAGTTCTTATCTCTTGCCATGGGGAAAGATTGGACAGTTGAATCTAATTGTAAGCTCCAGGTCACAGCCTTGAGCATGGTAAGAAAAGATATGGAGGATACTTCATTTGACCTCATTCTAATTTTGCCAAGTTTGTCCTGTACTTTCAATAAGACATAGAATGCTCTATGTAAATGCAATCTTTTTTCTTTGTAGTAACTTCCCGGAATTCTATACCTTAAACAGTTACAGTGAGAGGCTTGCAGGTGAACTTGTCTGTACTGCAGTTTGTTGGATCTCCCTAGTTTTGTGTTATCTGTGCCAGTTCTCAAGGTTAATCAAAAGGAAACTTCCAGTCAAATGTTTGCAACAGCTGTCCACATTCTCTTAACTGCTAAGTTTATTTGTCATTGAAATTTGGTTTTAACTAATTTTTTTTCTAAAGATTTGTTTATTTATTTATACAAGCACTGGGTACAGTCAGAAGCATGGGAAGGTGAGAGAACTCACCAGAGCCAGAGTGGGGAACAGACGAAATACAGGCAGACTGACGAAATACACTGCTGAGGGGGGCAGCAGGCGTGGCAGGAGAGGTCTGCGTACCATGTGGGTCCCTCGCCCGGTGGCCAGGGATCGAACCGGTGCTGCAGAGGCTGTGAGCAGCCTCACAGCCCAGTGGTCAACTGCTGTACCACCAGGGGAGGCCCTAACTAATTTTTAACTAAAATATAAGGATTTGCATGTCCATCCAGGTAGACACAAGTTCTCACTCTACATCTTTAAGTCAGTTGCCTGTCACTCCATGGATCTTGTTTGAAAGTTATAGGGTAACAGATGGAATGAAAGTACCATTCTGGACTTAGTGCTTGGATGTGCTAACCTGATTTCCCTTTAGAACTGAAGGCCTTATTTCCCCAGATGCCAATAGATAACTCTCAATGTCAAGCCTCCTTCAAGGATCATCTTAATTTAGATTTTTTTCCCCTCTCTCCCTACCCAAGGGCAACCAACAAACCATAACAGGTCATTGCAAGACTATAAACCCTTCACTCACCCCAACTAGAGGCATATCCAACCTGTGAACACCTCATAGGGTCAGTCAAGGGGTCATCAGGTCTGTATCAAGCTCCCTCTGAACATTCCTGCTCTCTTCCCTCTTCCTTCCTTCCTTCCCATATGTATTGATCTCCAGAGCACTCCCTGAGATACCTTGGAATGTTCATGTCTGCCTCAGATTACCCCCTGGGAACCCCACTTAGCACAGGCTCCCATCTTGGCCTGGGGATGGGGCTTGGGTTGCAATTGTGTATTCTTAGTTCTGCTTCTTCATGTATTGTCTCTCTAGGCAACTGAAAATGCAAGATTGAAAGCTGGTGTCTCAGGTCCATTCCATTATTCCATTTGACACATTGTCTTGATTATGATAATTCTGCACAAATTTTGAAGTTGGAAAATGTAAATTCTCCAACTTTGTTCTTTTTCATGGTTATTTTAATTGTTCTGGATGCTTGGAAATTCCACATGAACTTTAGTATGAACCAATCAATTTAAACAAAGAGGCTGGCTAGAATTTCCATGGATATTGCTATAGTAGTGCCATTTTTGCAGTCTTCTGATCCCATGAACGTGGGATCTTTCCATTTTCATTTTTTAAAAAAAGATTTTATTTATACCAGAGCTGGGGTATAGGTCAGAGGTGCGGGAGGGTGAGAGGATTCACCAGAGACAGAGTGGGGAACAGAACAGGCAGACTAACTGAAATACGCTGCTGAGGGGAGCAGCAGGCGAGACAGGAGAGGTCTGCTGCGCCATGTGGGTATCTCCCTGGTGGGCCGGGAATCAAACACACGCTGCAGAGGCTGCGGACAGCTTCACAGCACTGTGCTCAACCTGCTGTGCCACCAGGGAGGCCCTCTTTCCACTTTTAAATGTCTTCTTTAATTTCTTTCAAATGTGTTTTATAGTTTTTGGAGTATAAGTTTTTTACTTCTTTTGTTAATTTTTCTCCCAAGTATTTTATTTTCTGATGCTACTATAAATGGAATTTTCCTCATTTAATTTCTGAATTGTTAATTGCTATTGTATTAAAATACAATTGATTTTTGTATATTGATCTTGTATCCTGTGGCCTACTGAGTGCATTTATTAGTTGTAGTAGATTTTTAATGGATTCCTTAGGGGTGTATGTGTGTGTGTGTGTGTGTGTGTGTGTGTGTGCATAATATAAAACCATGTCATACTCAAATTAAGATAGTTTTACTTCCCTTTCCATTATGGATGCCTTTTATATAATTTTCTTATCTACTTTCCCTGCCTAGAACTTTCAGTATAATGTTGAATAGAAGTGAGAGCTGACATCCACATCTTATTCCTAATCTTAAGGGGGAATGTTTCAGTCCTTACCACTAAGGATGTTCACTAGCGTTTTCATAGCTGTACTGTATCAGATTGAGGAAATTCCCCTCGTTCCTAGATTTTTGAGGGCTTTTTTTTCATAAAGGGGCCTATTTTGTCAAATGTTTTTCTGCATCTGTTGAGATGATTATGTTGTTTTGTCCTTTATCCTATTGATATGGGCATTACATTAATCGATTTTCAGATTTTAAACCAATCCTGCATTCTTGGGTAAGTTCATTTTGTTCATGGTGTACAATTCCTTTTATATGTTGTTGAGTTCTGTTTGTTAGTATTTGGTTGGGGGATTTTTCTTCTTCAGCAGAAGAAACATTGGTCTTTAGTTTTCTTTTCTTGTAATGTTTTTGGTTTTTGTATCTAGGTAACATTGACTTCATAGAATAAATTGGAAAGTTTTCCCTTGTCTGCTCTTTTCCCTTTTTTTTTGGTCCACTCATCTGGAAAATAGAGTAGTCCTTGTTAAAACCATCAGTGACCTACATGTTGCCAAATGCAGTGGATATTTTCAGTCCTTGTCAAATCAGACTTTTAATGGCATTTGGGAAATTGAGGCTGCTTCTCCTTGCTGACACACTCACTTTTTTTGACTTTACATGCCTGACTACCCTTTTACTTCATGGTTGCCCCTTCTTAGTCTCCTTTGTGGCTTCGTTCTTCTTTACTCAAATTAAGACTTGAGGTTTTAAGAGATGGCCCTGAGTCCCTTTCCTTTCTTTTATATACACACTCTGGACTATTTATACCCCCCACCCCAAATCCCTTTCCCAATGCTCAACTATATAGAAATCTTTTGCCAAGTCCATGTTTCCAACCGTTTGACTCAAATAGAACATACTTCAACCTGAATGTTTGATTTTTCTCTTTCAAATCTGTATAAACTTAGCTATGCAGATCAGAAGCCTGAGATCTTAATTAACACCCCACTTTCTCCCTTATCCTCCAAGTCTGTCCTTATGTGAGGAGTCCAACTCCTGGTCAGAAACTGATGTTTGATTTTTAGCTCTCACTAGAGTTAATTACCAAGGCTTTATCTGACAAGCCTCATGGGAGGAGCTGCTCTCCCCATGCCAGATTGGTACATAGCCACATACAAAAGCAATCAGATCATTCCAGAGGTTGGCATCCTAAAAATATTTTAAACCAAGCATGAACATATAATCAGATAGAACTAGCTGTGGAATATATAATCAGATAGAACTAGCATCGTCCAAAATTGCCTCTCAACAAACTCAGAAAGACTCATATATATTCTTTTTATTACAAGTGAGGATATATAGTGACAGTTCTTTTGTCACATACCTCAATGTTAGTATGTTTGTGTTTATCTGTACTAAATTTAAATTTTGTGCACTCACAAACTTAAAAAAAAGCAGCTTTATTTTATATTGAAATACTAGACATTTGGGCCTCCCCGGTGGTGCAGCCGTTGAGCGCTGGGTTGCGAAGCTGCCTACAGCCTCTGCAGCGCTGGTTCGATCCCCGGCCACCGGAGGCGGGTCCCACATGGCGCGCAGACCTCTCCTGCTGCCCGCTGCTCCCCTCAGCAGTGTACTTAGGTCCTTCTGCCTGCTCTGCTCCCTGCTCTGGCTCTGGTGAATTCTCTCACCCTCCCGCGCTTCTGACTATACCCAGTGCTTGTATAAATAAATAAATAAATCTTTAAAAAAAAAAAGTGAAAAAAAAAAAAAAAGAAATACTAGACGTTTCCATGTAATAAAGATGGGATACAGAAGTATGAGTCTTTATTATGCTCACTTCTCTCCGTCCTGTCCATTGGTTGACCCCATGGAAAGAGCTATCAGGTTGCTCAGATTTCAGTCTTCAACATGTCATTTTGAGTTATGTTGGGCACCAGGAACTAAAAGTACAAGAAAGGAAGAAAACTGGAACTGTAATTGAGCACTATACAAATAAACATGCTCTCTGCTGGTTGTGCTAAAGGTCAGGAGAGCTAGAATCTGGCAGGTTGTCAAGCAGAGGAAACTTCTGAACTGTAGGAAGATGAACAAATAGATAGTCTGGGCAGCGAAAACCCTTAGTGCCACAAAACCCAGGCTGAGAAACCGTAATTGGCTAAAAGTGACAGAGGATGGTGACGGAGCTCCTCATAGAACTGCAAAGAGAGTATTGTAATTTACAAAAGTGTACCTAGTATTAGGGCCATGTGAAATACATGTTAATTTAATAGTATTAGCTTATTTATTTTTAATAATGACATCTATTAGAGATGAAATGGAAAGAGAAGATGACAAATAATGTAACATATGATTCCAGAATCCAAGGAAAGCAGGGGTTACATGTATATACATCCACATACATAATTTAGATTCAAATGTAGAAGGGTGATGATCTGACAGTTATTAAATAATGAAATGTTTCCCTGCTGGTTGGTGAATAGCTGCTGTCTTGAGCTCCTCAAATATTCCTTGCTGCCCTGTAACTCTCCTGCCTTCTCATATTCCAGCAGTTAAGGAGTTAATAGAAACAATGGGCCTCCAGGACTGCTAATGCCTACACTAAGTTCTCTATTTAATTTGGTCAATAGCCCAAATCATATTGACTGCTAATGTCTTAATATCATCTATGTGTAGATGCATGTTGCATAGAATTACATGAATTCTATCAATTGTCTGATGAAGAATTAGCTGCAACAGGATCAGCCACACCATTTGTCAGAAATACAATGCTGGGGTCCCACAAACTGAGCATACCGTGTCTCTGACAAGGGCCAGCCTATCCCCGGGTGGATCTACAGCATCATATATAATATAGTCTACATTTTCTGCCATGTATTCATACATCTAGATGCCAAAGGCTTTGAGGAGAGGGTTCTAAATCCTAATATTCTTAGTGTTCACTACTATGCCTAGCCTACTGTTTATTTACAGACAATAAAGAGTAGTCATGACACAGAAATGCATGCTGAAAGGATAAGTCAAATTTTTAAATTTTATATATTTTTTACATAATTTTTCATTTTTGTACAATGCATGCATTTTCACCTCAGTTATAGTCCCCATGAAATTCCCACCACCCATTCACCCGTGATCTATCACCATGGTCCCTTGTGCTCTTCCCACCCTTGTTTTGATCCTACTCCCTTCTCCCCTGCTGCAGAATGTCTCTAGTTTATAATTGCTTGTTGATTTTGATTTTTACTCTATTATAATTACTTTCTTTTTCCTGATCCCTTATTTGGATCCTCTACATTCCTCCTATAAGTGAGACCATCTGGTATTTTTCTTTTTCTGAAAGGATAAGTTAGATTTGATGATGATGTGATAGTGATGACACTGATGCTGATGTCCATGGCTAATCCTGATGAATGCTGACCATGTGCTGGGTACTCTGTTAAGTGTCTTAAATCTACTATCTAATTGGACCTTCCCAATAATCCTAGTATGTACCATCAACTCCATTTATGATGAGGAAACTGAAACTCAAGATCTCATCAATGGGAGGAAGCAGAACTTCAAACTTGGTCTGTCTGATTTCACAACCTATAGCTTTCTTATTCACTGGTCGGATTCTTTAGAGTTGATCTCTTCAATTTTTTTTTGTTTCAAATTCATTTGTTGCCTTTTATTATATATTTGGAGGATAAATAGGCATGGAAGATGAAGAGAGGGTAAAAGCCATGTTCTCTGACTCACAGGAACCAAGGTGAAGGAAACTGACTATAAAAAGAGGAAGGTATATATATATATATATATATATATATATATATATATATATATGTATTCCCCAACACTTCAGAGACATTAGAAACTTCTTAGCTAAATAAAAATAAAATAATAAAGTATTTACTGGAAAAAAAAGCTAGAACATTGCAGCTGTCACTAGATCTTGAAAATCAAGTTAAGAAAAGAAAAAGATTTTGAGATGATGGCTAAAACCCTAGTAGTCAGGGAAGGGATGAGAAATTGATGAGAAATAATGAGGGCAACTGAGATTTTAGAGAGATCATCAAGGTGCCACATGATGCCTTGACAGTGTACAAGACAAGCAGTCTGGTAGTGGAGAAATTAAGGCAGCTCACAAGTGTAAGTGGATTAAAAGGAGAACTGAGTTTTATATAAATTCAGGTTTGTTTTGAAGTATTCAGCCCAGAAGCTGGGATTAATGAGATCACAGAGTATTATAATTTGATTCCAGTTAGAGCATCCTTATGCACCGAGCTTAATGAAGAACAACTAATTAACATCTTTTGAACATGAAGGAAAAAAGGAATAAACACCAAGATTGTCTTTTCAAGGCAAAAACAAACATGAAATCAAAATCTGGATAAATGGAATCAGAGTGCTTATTCAGACCTCAATGTATCAGTCCCTGTGCTTTCCTTTAGAGACAGATAACTTTCTAATCATCTCTGATTCATTCATGACATATGGAAGAGGATAGATCTGATTCTTACTGGGATCTGGGCAAAAGCCCCACTTCTCGTCTCTCTCATATCGGCTTGTGGTGGCGCACCAGAGCAAGTGGTCTTCCCGCCCTTCCCGAGTGCACTCGTGATGCCACTGCTGGTTATACTGGAAGGGGAACATGCACGGGGTCCCGTGGGCATTCCCTTTGATTGTGTACAAATCTAGGAGAAAGAAAAATACAAAGTCAAGTTAAGTATTCTGTCAGCCTTCTCTTTAGAAACTGTCATATCGCGAGTACCTACGGAGAAATTAAGGGCCCTCATGTCTAGTGTATGTGAAAGTGCGCAGCTGATATTGGAGTCAGAGGAAGTAGTGTGTGCTGAATGGTGTGTTCATTTATTTCTTTTCTTGTTTACTTACTGTGGTGCACTGCTATAGTAGCATACATATTTGTGAATGGATAAGAAGGAAAATTAAGCAGAAATATTACTTTAAACTATTTTCCCAAAACTATCAGTCATCAGCATCTGAACCTCAGGTGCTTCATAGAAATTTATGAGTTTATTCATGCAGCACATCTTTATCAAGCACTAGGGATAAATTAAGTGCTGGGGATATATTAAATACTGAGGATATATTAGTGAACTAACAAAGGTTTCCTTTGACATGGAGCTTCTGTTCTAGTGGGGAGAGACAAACAGAATGCAAATATACAATAAAACATATCTTTTCATGTCGTATTAAGTGCCACAAAAAAAAAAAAGCCAAATGCCAAATTAGGGTAAGAAGACAGAATGATTCTGTGTGTGTGTGTGTGTGTGTGTGTGTGTGTAAGAGAGAGAGAGAGAGAGAGAGAGAGAGAGAGAGAGAAAGAGACAGAAAGGTATTAATTTAGAGAAGGTGGTCGATGAAGGCTTTTTCATGTAAAAAATGGGTAAATTAAAGATATACGTTTTCGAAAAGAGCTGTTCTTGCAGAAAGAACTGCAAATGTAAATGACCAGTGAAAAAATGAGTGTGAGGTGAGTGAGAAAATGGGGTAAATGGGAAGTGGAAGTAGAATTGGGCCTCGGGTGTTTGCTCAGAAAGGATCAGCTTTGTTACATCATGGACTTTGGCCTTTACTCTGGGGCTTGTGGGAAGTCACTAGTGGGTTTAATGGAAAGGTATTATGATCAGATTTCTATTTTTAAAATGGGATGCAGTGTGGCAAACAGAAGCTGCATAGGGAGAGGGCAAAGTGGGAAGGTTAACTGGGAGGTCACTTCAGTAGTCCAGGAGAGAGATGACAGTGCCAAGGCGGCTCCTACCTGCATTCTTGGAGTATTTCAACAATTAATCATCCTTGGCCTTAAGCAGGAAACAGTAATATCTCATGACTCAACTGGGACTTTCTATTGTGAGGGGGTGTCTGGCCACTCTCAATTGAGTCATAGGTCCCAGAGCAAAATGGCCACCAAGGAGATACACCTTTCCCTAAATTGACAAGGCCAAGCTCACACCACATTACCAGCTCTAGAGATGAAGGCTGTTTAGGAAATACAGGTATTTTAGAACACATCCTTTCATTTCAGTCCTCTGCCTTCTGCTCAGTCTTGCCCTGCATGCGTTGTGATTTTGAGTAGATAGGTAAAAAGTCAACATACAGCAACATTTCAAGTTCTTCCTTAGAGATGTAAATTATTCTGAGGCTGGGTTATAGCCCTTGCCTTATTGGAATGAGTCTGAAAATGGCTTGCTCCTGACTCTTTTTACTCATTTCTTATACATACAGAAGAAAGTCCTGCTTGAATTTTAGGAGTTTCTTGCTCTGCTTCCTATGACTGGTATAGAGTTCTTAAGAGGATAATTTTCTTATTAAACATCATTCCGGAGCACCATCAGGACAGGCACCACATCTGTCCTGGGGGTCTTTGTAAATCAAATGCTTGACACTGTGCTTGAGAAACAGAGCTCAGTAAGTGTGTGATGGATGATGAATGTATGAATGAGTGAATGAAGAGAGCTAAAACAAAACCTGCTTTTGAGGTTTCAGATCTTAACTATGCTACTTTGTTATTTTCATTTATTTCTTTTTGTTTAAAGATGCCAAATGTTACTGAACTATGAAAAAATGAAAGTCCCCTTGTTTTCCTGTCCTCTGGCACATACCAAATAACCCCCTGGCAACAGTTTCATTTATCTTTAAATTCCTTGTAACATGTCCTTGTAACATGTCTTACTAGTGGATGCTGACCAGGTGTCAGGAGGCATCCAGATACCCGGCAGACACACTCCATCCAAGGGCCTGAGTTTCTACAATAAGCGAAGCAGTAGCAGGGGAGACGCTTACATTCATCCAGACTAGTTTTTATTTCAAAGTTATCTCCTTTCCACCTTCATTTTCTCTCTCCCTCTTGTCCTGTTCTTTTTCCTCCTTTCCATTGAGTCCCAGAGTTAAATATTTTCTCTAATACCTTTCAATTCCAAGAAGTTCTACTTCTTTAGCAGAATTCAATCAAGTGCATTCCAGGGCTCCAGGAGTACTTTTACAATGAGTAAGCAACAAAAATGTAGCAGCAGGAGTCACTTGAGCTTTTGAGCGCTGTGTCCCTCTTTCATATAGTAATATATTTTACAAACCATTACTTAGGGGCACACTTTCTAAATGTCTGAGTATGTTGATATAAAGAATCGTTTACCTTTGTGCAGATATCCACAAATGCCTCCATCATCTGACATGTAAGAAATCCACTTATGAAGGTATTTCCATGAGGCCACGAGTGTGTTATCATGTTTCACCTGGACCATGTACTGGAGTGGGCCTGTGATCATCTTCCTGTTACAGCGCCACTTCAGGGAAACATGGGTGGAGTCGCACTCATATAAACCTAATGGCTGCTCCGGATTAGATAAATTCAGGCCCAGGCATCCGCTGCCTCCTATGTTAAAGAGGCGGTGGTTTGAAACCCATTTCCACAGCATATGCTTGTTGGGTGGCTTGCAGTTCTCCAGGGTCAATACAGATTTGCCTGCTTGGATGCATTTCTTGAGGTTCTCACTTTGGATAATGAATATTCCTTGATCTGAAACAGCAAAAGAGAAGACATGGTATGGAATTTTCATATACAATTAACTAGTGTCATGAGGACTCCAGTGTGGATGCCTAAGTTGTGATATATCATAATTAACAACCATTTCAAACAGATTTGGAGTTGATGGATAGGTCCACTAAAAGGGTTTTATTTGAATGAAAAAGAGGAGTTTCTTGGGAAACATAAATGGACTTGCTGGAACTAAGTCCATGGGAGACCTCTGTCCTAAGAACTCTGCGACCATACAGTAACATACAGATTATCAGTAAAGCTGCTGATTATCTGCTAGGAATGGTACTGATAGAGAAGGAATTTGCCATAACTGGTTAGAGAGCAGCTAATAATACTCAGGGATAGACAGCGGGGGCATTGGGTGCTCAGTTATGGTTATACTGGCTTTCTTCAGACAGTGCCTGAAAGTCTCAGATGTGGTAGCTGAATCAAGAGCAACTGAAATTTCTACCCAATGGATCTAAGTGAAATACTGTTTTCTAACTTAATATGAGATGAAATGCTAGTGAGAGAAATGTTTATCCTCATTTATTTTCTGTATTGAGTCCATCAGAAATAGAAATGGGAGGACATTTGCTATGGGAATGAACTCTGCAGAAGCAGCCTTGTTGGGAGCATGGACAGAAATAGATGGATACCAGAACACTAGCTGAGGCTCCTCCTAGCCACACAGATGCTAGAGCACCATAACAGAGGCAAAACCACACAGGCCACCTGGAGATGTAGAGAAAGTAGCAGCTTTTAACATATCCAACCCTCTAAACCCCTAGAGGCAGAAGAAGGGATTTGGTGAGTTTCCAGTGGAAAAGTTGTAGGACCCAGCAAGAGGATATGTGTTAGCTGCCTGGAAAGAGTCTGTTATATAACAACTATGAATTTGTCCTCTCAACATTTTTTGAAGATGGAAATCATGTCTAATTTTTTTAGTCTCAGTGTGCAGTGGATGGAGCACATTGTCGAGTTCAGTAAACATGAGGTCCAGGTCTGTGGTTACTGAGATTACTCAACTTAGAATGTCTGGTCAGGCTCGTATTATCTCATTAACTGGGCTCTCCCCTTACATTTTACTTCCTGTCCAGTCTTCAGAAAACAGAAGGGATATTATCAGGTACCCTAGAAATGGCTGGGGCTTATGATAAGTCATGTGTGTGGCAAGGGCATACAGGGACAGGCAGAGGCCTTCTAGAGATTTGGAATGGAGCATGAGCCTCCTCACATATTGGTGCCTAGGGACAGTCCTTCATTTTCCTATGTCTTTCTGCTTTTCCAAAGTCACTCAGCTTGAGAAACTGATTTACAGTAACAAAAATCACTTAAGACACTGTTAAAAAAAAAGATTGTCAGTGTATTAATGAAAGCTATATTTCATGTAATAATTGATAACCTTATAATCATATACTTCAGATGTTGAATTAGTTGTCAGAAAATTGCTTGGATCACCATATATCAGAGCAAAAGAGAAGGAAGTATGGGTGGAGGTGGGGTGGAAGAAAGAATGAATGGTTGTAGGGAGATTTCATTTAGATCAGGAAAATTGTTTTCCTAATGAAGTCCACGTCTGATGGCTATTTATAATAGTCATTCAAAATCAAATATACTCGCCAATGGGATGTGAACTCTAATAATTAACCTCTCCAATTCTCCTTTCCACCTATCATGCCTGAGTAGAATGTTAACCTTAATTTCGGTGTAATCTCTGAATTACTTTCTAGCTAGCTTAGAGTTCTATTAATTTTTCACTAAAGGATTATAATTTTACTATAATCATCCTATAGTTTAATTTGTATCTAATATATGTGTTCTACTATCTCTAACTCTATAGCATCAGACTGGACCTCTGCCCTCTGTGCCTTGGACCTGGCATAGTGTAGTGGGTAGTAATTAAGAGCTCTAGAATCAGATAGACCTACCACAGACTGGTCTTACATCTTTGAGCAAATTTCTGGATTTCTGAGAACTTTGTCTTTCATCTTTGAATTGGGAATATGTGATACTAGCATCATAAAGATCGAAAGAGTATTCCAATAGATAATGCAAAGCACACCATACCCTATCTTGGCATGGGAAGGCCTCAGTAAAAGCAAGGTGGTATTATTATGTTTGTTATCCTTCTGTCTTTCTGTCTGTAGATCCAGATGTATATTTGTTTGAACACTTAAAGACTGCTAAATTTGAGCATAAGACCCCCAAATTTCTCTTCTCTCATTAGCACAAAGGATCATTTTTAAAAAAGAACTTTTTATTGAATAATATTAGTTTATAATATTATGAAGTTTATTTTTATTTTAGTTTCTGCAGCACAGAGTATGTGTAGACTTTTTAGTTTTAACCAATCCGGAAATAACATGTTATTACCTTTTATGGAAGAAGAGTACTTTTTAAATAACCTGATAACAAAATCTTTGTTTATTCAATCGGTGTGTAATTATGAAATTAAGAATATCTATTCTTTGTTTACACTACTTGTGTATTGTGTCTCTCTTATAAGAAAGAGAAAAAACCATGATGCTGATAAGCAGTGATAGATGGGTCAGTTGGTTGGTGGTCTGTGAGTAAATCAATATGGAAACTACATATTACTAAAATTGTGGGTGAATAAATATGTTTCAAAATATCAAAATCATTGCGTTAAGAGTAAAGGAGTGGTAGAAACAAAACTTCAGTAGTCATACCAGCAGTCAGAACAATGACTTTCCAAAGCAGAAAATATGAGACAAACTTAATCAAAAGCTGTTCAGTTTTGGGGTGCTACTTGTTTCCATGCCTCTTGCATTTAGGATTTGGCTTTGGAAAAATTATTCAAAATATATCATAAACAAGTATCTCTGGTTTACCAACAACAATAAACATGCCATATCCAAAAGAATACTATGTCATGCTAAGCTAAAAAATGACCCGAACCCATTTTCCCATTAATTTATAATATAATTGGTTCTAGCATCATAAATCTCCATAAATTCACTGAAGCCAAATCTGTTTTCAAATAGGTATCAATATTCTGATTGTTAGTATTATGACTATAGGTTGCCTGTAGCAAAAGTGTAAAGTGAAGCCACCAATCCTTAATGTCTGTAGTAAGATTTCAAAAAGGGTGAAAATCAAATGTGGGAGGAATCAAGATTGATTATGTATGTCAAGGACATCAGTTATGCTTGAACACTGATTAAGTGATTAATGAAGTACTGCCAAAATTACTAAATCTCTTTGCAGTAAAATGTTATTATACTTCCTTTCATAATTATAAGTTTAGAAGGAGAAGAAGGATTGATTTACTGGAGGCAATTTATAAGCTAATTTTCATCCTTTAAAAAAATTCCATGGACGACAATGATTCTATTTCAGAGTTCCTCTTAGGAGATCACTGTAGTCTAACCCTTTGACTCTAGAAGATAACATGTACTTTTCTAAGCAATGGGGGGAGAATCAATGTTGAACGAACATTAAGGTATTCTTTTTATGATTGCATGTAAAGTATTATTTCCAGTCACTTGTTCCACAAGCATTCACTAGGTGCTAGCACTGTGAGGGTGCCAGGCACTGTGAGGGTGCTGTAGATAGAGGAATTATTTGCCTCAATATCATTCCCTGGAAGCTGTATTTGTTCTGGAGTTGTGGGAACTCTTCTGGTTAACCTAAAGAAGGAAGTACATTAGTTTCAAAGAAAACATCATAGTGCATATAAGCTAAACTCAAAGACACATTTAAAAAGGAAGAAAAAAGAAAATAAGCCTAAATTGAAATGACTTAATTTGTTCTTCAACTGATGTCATGTGTGATAAGCTCAGGACTCTTGTACATTAGCAGACCTTTCTGCATGAAGTGCGTGTGTGTGTGTGTGTGTGTGTGTGCACGTGCCACACATACTTGCTCATTTTCCAGGGAGGAGACCAGAGAAGAGAAGAGAGAATATGGATATTGCAGAGGAATCTAACTTTACCTCTGAACCCAGAATCATTAACTTCAGAGCCAGATGGGACTGTAGTTGAATCATTCTTTTACATTTTTTAAAAAGATTTATTTATTTATGCATACAAGAATTGGGTACCGGCCAGAGGTGTGGGGGGTTGAGAGGAGTCACCAGAGACAGAGTGGGGAGCAGAACAGGCAAACTGACTGAAACACACTGCTGAGGGGAGCAGCAGGCAAGCCAGGAGAGGTCTGCTGCACCATGTGGGTTGCTCCCTGGCCCGGGATCGAACTGGTGCTGCAGAGGCTGCGGACTGCTTCATAGTACTGTGTTTAACCCCTTATGCCATCAGGGAGGCCCCCTCCAAATCCAATTTTATCTTAGAAGCTTTGTATCCATATACTCATTGAGGGACCTTTAGGTCTAGTTTCACTTATAATCTAAAGAGAAGGAAATGAACTGCTGCGGTTCTTGGCAAACAATTTGAAGTGGGAGACTTGAAATTTCCAACATTTATTGAGTGTCTAATATGGCATGTATTAGGCATCTGAAGACAGAGAGACAGGTCATATTGCTTGTGCTCAAAGGACTGTTTTTCCTGAGAGTCACTAAAATGAACATGAAGAATGATAACTTAATGCCAAAATATATTTCGACACATGCAGTATAAGTACAATGATGTGTTAAACTAGGAGTCAGAGGGCTCATTTGACCTACAGTACTACAGTATCAGAGAAATTAATTTCTCTCTCTCTCTCCTTCCCTTCTTAGCCCCTTTCACACTCATTCAACAAATGCTTATTAAGGGCCTAATATTTGTCACAGATGGAAGTAGGATATTGGTGGATGAAACCAGCATGAATGCCTTTCTTCTTCACAAAGAGAATTCAGGGCATTGGAGGAGGCTTAACATCGATAGGTGAGGGATTGGCCAAGGGGGCATTCTGAGCATTCTGGGCTCAGCAGTGATAAAAATAATGAGCTTTAGGGTGATGATAAGCTAGCTATATACAGACTTTGGTGGTTACATGAAATTGGACTATGAAATTGGAAAGAAGTAGTTGAGGTCATT